AGGGCAAAATTTCATTATTCAACATGATACGAGGCATGATACGACCTTCCTCTTGCGCAGGCAAGAGTGAACCACTCTTTAAAGCTCATAATAACAAATATTTACATTAGTTCCTGGCATTACTGCTTCCTGGCACTTGGCTTCTCTTGGTCTGGTACACTGCATCAAGGTTCGGAGAAAATGACTGAACTATTGCAAGGTTGAGTATTGAATTCAGGTGTTCATCATTAAGTTGAAAACGAAGGTAAGATTTGTCAATGTTCAACACTGAAAGGAACGGTTTATAGACACGTGCTTCCAAACGTGGACATAATCCCGACTATGGATAGAGTGTGCAAATATCAGCACCTAAACATTTCACTGGAAATAGAATCAACATAAGTTCTTCAGCTAGAAATAATCTGTTAAGTTCATGCATATCTTTTCATTTCTGTTCCATACAAATCTGTATTACACCATACAGTTCATTAAGGCGCTTCAGTACAGGTCTACAATTTAACCATCGAGCATTACTGAAATTGCAGCCAGTGAGGGATATGATTTAAAAAAAATTGAACTTTCTGTGGTATAGATTTCATGTTCGTGTTAAGGTCAGTCTTTATGATAACATCTATGGCATAATCCATTGTTAATGTTTTACCACAAATCTCTCTTTGAGTGGACACACAAGACAAAAACAGTTATATGCCAATATGCAGTAATTTTAACTTAAACTGTATTAATTGTGCTCAAGATGCCATTGAATTAGCTAGTTGGCCGCGGTATTATAAGGGCTACGGTCAGCATATTTAACACTCCCCCTAGACCAACTACTGACCCCTGCCCCAGAATGCAACCCACAACAGCTACTTAACTCCAAGGTGCATATTTCACTGTTTAGGTAAACAGACATCAGATGAAAGGAAACGTGTTTTCGGTAAAAAGATAATTTTTTCAATAATTGTGGACTGACGATGAAATTTCTTTTGACTTTCTGAGAACGTAACATTTTGTTGCCGTGTTGGTTTTGTAATATTTTAATATAGTACTCAATCACGCTGGCTGTGTTGAGAATGGAATTTACATTATTTTCTCTAATGATGGCCCAAGGGGTTAACAATAGGAACAAAGCCAGTCGATTATTTTTCATCTGATGTATTGTATACGCCGTGTTCCATTCTTGTGTACTATTCAGTTTGGTCTTCCTCTCTCACTGACACAAAAAATCTTACATTGGAATGAAATCACAAGAATATTGGTAGGCTTAGGAAAATGTTCAAGTCCTTGCTGACGTTACCTATGTCGTTCGGTTCCATAGATAACGAAAGGTGAGTACAACTTAGTGCTTGTACTGACTTGTACAAGGGCCGTCAGTAAGGCCAGATTAATCAAGCAGTTGTCATCAACCGCTTGATGAATCTGGTTATTTGATGAATTAACTGTGAATTTGTTATTTGTTGCTATGAATCAACTATTACAGGACAGTAATAGTTGGTTTCCTTTCAGCTAATGCTGCTGTTCACCTTGCCGTAAATAGGAACCTGGGAGTTTTTGTTTTGACTGTTGTGGAGTTCCTGAAGATGGTCAGTAGTTCGACCTTGGAGTCTCGCTTCAAACCTAACATGTACATACACACGCTGCCTGTCCCCGCCAAGATGAATTATTATTATTATCTCGACCGTGGCGGTTACAATGGAATTCAACTAATTGTTTACGAACGTTGATCTTCCTAATAACATCCCTCGGGAGACTGACGTTGGTGTAACAATGAATCAACGTTGATCAAACGTTGATTCATTGTTACGTTATTCGCGTTGCGTTATTCGTTATACGTTATTACGTTAACGTTATTCGCTAATGTTTTTGCTGCTGGGCTTAATAAAAAAGACACTTCCAGCACTGACGAACGGAGGATAACCAAACTATAGCACATGAAGACATCGCCACAGCGCTTCAAGAATAGATGTACCTCGGGTTAGGAAGTCACCTCCCTGGAAACACAAACCGAAACTGTCTTTATTTTCCGCTTGTTACAACTTGTAATAAAGTTGTTACATCTTGGCTTAACGTGTTTATGACGTATTAGAACGTTGTTACAACTTGCTATATTGGTTCTTATATCTAGTTAGGAGATATATATAGGAGTTAGGAGTTATATCTTGTTCGAACAAGTTAAAACTTGTTCGAACGTTATGTCAACGTCGTAGTTTGGGTGTGTGTTTGGCGGGTAGGACGCACGTTGTTGTTGTTGTTGTTAAAGATTCGCTACCTGGGAACAAAGTTCCAAGTAGCACGGGCTATGGTGTGCCCGTAGAGGGCACACGCTAAAACATGATCGCTTATAACCGCGTCGTGATCCAACCCACACAGCAACCAACACAAAACTGACGTTCTGGCTACAGTCCGTCACAGTCACACGCGTATAACAAAGGATGACGCAACACCCCCCACCCCCCGCACCACCTTCCGGATCTCGCTATATTAGTGGAGGGAGCGGCTCTTCACTGTTCAGTCGCTCTCAGAGCTGTAGAGGGTGAAAATGGTGAAATACAAGTTCTTGCTTAGGAAATATTACAGTGGTGATATGAAGAGTAAAGGTAATTTAGCAAATTTTAAGGAGTTATCACACACCGATTGGGGTAAAGAAAACGCTTATGATAGAGACAGAAGTAGGATGCCGAGGTAGGTACTTTTGTTTATTTTGGGTTGGGCGATGTTGAGTATGTTATTGTGTGGAAATACAATTGTATTCACACTGGAAATATACTAATACTGCCTTCCTCCCCATCCTGGCATCGCTCACCATTCTATTCACACAATCACATGTGTTATTTACATGTACAAAACCTGTTCCTAAATGCTAATCTTGATCTGAAACTTTTCCTTGAACCTATGATCACCACACCGGAACTAAATATATCTTTGATATCCCCCTGAGTCAAACTTAATCTGTGTAAACAATCCATGCTCATAAAAGGACCCAGTCTATGGAACTCACTCCCTGATGAATTAAAAAATTCTCCACCCTATACCTTATTCAAAAGTAAAGCCAACAAGTACCTAATTTCATCCTCATAGTTTCCTACCTTGTGCTTCAAACTCACACTGTTATTGTACTACCCACTTCCTCAATATTAGTACTTAAGACATATATCTTCACCAGTGTAATCACCTCTGTCAGTTTGTATTGTAGTTATTAATATACAACCCTGCTACAATGTACCTTTTTAACTTACCTGATATGTTAGATTAAGGACCTGCCCGAAACACTATGCCTGTTAGTAGTGGCTTTGCAAGAATGAAAAAAATACCAATTATATGTAATCTCACCAGCCCATTGTACCTTCTAGTGAATAAATTTGTATTATTATTCTACACTACACCACTCTACGCAGACCAACCCACGTTATGCACTTTAGCCAAGATATCCTCGATATCCTCGCTATACTGCCCCTCACACTGACTCCTCCGTCCCTACTGCACACCCAAATTAAACTGAAATTCATGAAAGTTATGAACCAACCACTTGGGCTGGACGGTAGAAGAACGGTCTCGCTTCATGCAGGTCGGCGTTCAGTCCCCGACCGTCTAAGTGGTTATGCATCATTCCTCCCCCCCCCCCACGTCTCATCCCTAATCCTTATCCTGACCTCTTCCAAGTGCTATATACTCTCAACGGCTTGGCGAATTTCCCTGATAATTCCCTCCCCCAAGAAAGTTATTCATAAGTGCCTACATTCCACCTCCCCATCACGGGAGACATCTCCCGTCACGCAGGGTGCAGTCGCACCTCCACAGATCTCCAGTATCAGCTCTTGATACTGGTAATGGCTCAAAAGGGCCACCACTTACGGGTTATTCATGCCCGTGCCACCTTTTGGGTGGTTTAATCTTCATCAATCAATCAATCACCTCCCCATCACTGACACGCACTCCACCACCACCACATACTCCTACCACAACACATTCCAATTCCTCACCACCCACGTATGTACTTCTACCCGCATATAGCCTCTACCCACTCACATATGCCTCATGCACTTATGCGTCAGTTCTTAGTCACATGTTCCACTCCCAATGCAACTCTGCGCGCGCACACATACACTGACTCATATATTGATAGGTCAGACCCAAGGGGCTACAGAAGCAGCGCATGAATCGATTGAAGGTAGAGAGTTTGGAGGTCAACCGTCCGCGATAGATGAACTACACACCTGCGCACACCGGTAGCTCGAGGCCAGCTAAATATGGTCAGCTAAACATTAGTACTTAGCTTTACCTTTCCTTACGTATCAGTAACTACGGGAAAGTGAGGTTTAGCTCTTTATTCATTTTATTCTTTATTCTAGCTCTATATTCTATATTCTAGCTCTGTATCTCTTATGTTCTAAACATCACCACGAACCTACTGAAAAGAGGCTCGTGGGCTAACAAAATAGAGCAGAAAATAGATTTGCATTTATGAATATGCAATGAGGGAATTATCAGGGTAAAGCACCAAGCCATTACGACTATAAAGAAATATGCAATGAGAAGTTTAATTCTTGAATAAGAACATAAGAATTAAGAAAATACAAAAGGCCTATTGGGCCATATGATGCACCTTCTATTTATATTCACCCAAACTCATTCATGTGTATGTGTAACTCTTGAAACAATTAAGTGGCCCCACATGAGGCAGTGACTGGTCAATGTTGCTACAGCTGACCTGGCTTTTATGCATGCATTGCTGAATTGTTTCCGTTTAGCTTGTAAATGGTCATAATTATGGGAGGGTTGACTGGGCAGCCATTCATAACGCACAGAGATCACAACCCTTTTACCCTGTCGTATCTCAGTCGATTAAGGCAGTGTCTGGGATGCTCCCGGACGCAAGTTCGAATCCTCGTCATGGCCCTTGTGGATTTGTTCATTAGCCATTCATAATTTTTCGCCCCTTTTCAACCAGCAGTAATTCTAGACCTGGTGCTAAACTGATTACTAGTTCACCGAAACACGACAACTGCTAATGTGGAACTTACCATGAGCTATGAGAAGAAGAAGTCTGCTAACTGGAGGCAGATGTCGTTCACTCCTACCCACCTCTGTAAAAAATAAAAAAGTGATATGTTTGAAACATACAAGACTCGGGGAAATTAACAGTAGAAAAAAGGCGAAATGGTAAGAATGGATATCAGTTGACGAAGTTGGGTAGTAACTACCCTGGAAACACAAACCGTAACTGTCTCTATTTTCCGCTTGTTACAACTTGCAATAAAGTTGTTACATCTTGGCTTAACGTGTTTATGACGTATTAGAACGTTGTTACAACTCGCTATATTGGTTGTTATATCTGGTTAGGAGGCGTTAAAACTTGTTCGAACGTTGTACCAACGTCGTAGTTTCGGTGTGTTTGGCGGGTATTGACCCAAATGAACCAGTAAAGTAAGAAAATATTGTATAAGCGTTCATTAAAATAATAATATAATAAACTTGAAAGAGGAGATAGTAGAAACTCCACCACAAATGATAAAACTTATTATTCAATGAACTTATTCCAATGGAAAAAAGTCTCCGTGGTGTAGTGGTAAGACACTCGCCTGGCGTTCCGCGAGCGCTATGTCATGGGTTCGTATCCTGGCCGGGGAGGATTTACTTGGCGCAATTCCTTAACTGTAGCCTCTGTTTAACGCAACAGTAAAATGTGTACTTGGATGAAAAAACGATTCTTCGCGGCAGGGGATCGTATTCCAGGGACCATAGGATTAAGGACTTGCCCGAAACGCTACGCGTACTAGTGGCTGTACAAGAATGTAACAACTCTTGTATATATCTCAAAAAAAAAAAAAAAAAAAAAAAAAAAAAAAAAAAAAAAAAAAAAAAAAAAAAATGCAGACGAGGAGTCACAATAACGTGGCTAAAGTATGTTGACCAAACCACACACTAGAAGGTGAAGGGACGACGACGTTTCGGTCCGTCCTGGACCATTCTCAAGTCGATTGTGAATTTAATATCAAGTTTTATACATTCTTTAACCTGAGGATGGTGTGGCGGGCGATCAGGCCCACGAGTCTGGCCCCTCCGGAATATCTGCTCACTTGGGTCCGTCTAATTACCCAATTAATTATAAACAGCAGCGTCGTGTGTATCTCGACTTTAGCTTTACTCTAATGTCTGCGACGCTACTACATTCAGCTATATGTAGGTGGACCAAATATTTAATCTTAATCTTACTGACGAACAGGTAATTGAAATTGGAATAAGTTTATTGAGGTAAAATACACACAAAGGGATGAGGTAGCTCAAGCTATTCTCACCCCGTTCAGTACATCATGTTAATACATACATAGACACACATCACAAACAATAAACGTATTACCGAACATTCTGAGAGATAAACATACATTGCCTCCTTTACACAAGTAACATGTAATTATTTGCTCCAATATGACTTGAGTCGACTGGGGATGGTACCTGACTTACAAGACATTCACAAGGAGGTGAGGTGAGGTCACACAAACCTCACCTACAGTAGTTTCAAAGGTTGGAAGGCTGTCCCTTGTTACCAGATTCAAATCCGCCCATTCAACAGAAAATTGGGGATAGACGGGTCGTTACGAGAGGGAGGAGAGGCTTACGGGCTATTCATGCCCGTGCCACCTTTTGGGTGGCTTAATCTTTACCAATCAATCGAGGAAGGGAGTGTGTGTTCACCATTTGGTCCGGGAGACATCTCCCGTCACGCAGGGTGCAGTCGCGCCTCCACAGATCTCCCGTATCAGCTCTTGATACTGGTAATGGCTCAAAAGGGCCACCACTTACGGGCTATTCATGCCCGTGCCACCTCTTGGGTGGCTTAATCTTTATCAATCAATCAATCTGTGTCCCAGACGAGACAGGAGTCTGGGGTGTAGTGTTGGGCATCACAGGGGAGGGAGACTACACTGAAGCTTCATCACTGCTGTATCTTGAGTGAGCACTGAGTCCCTTATGTTCTAAACATCATAAGATTCTATTGCCTTATGAACAAATCCACAAGGGCCGTGACGAGCATTCGAACCTACGTCCGAGATCATCCCAGACGCTGCCTTAAAGTTCTACTGATGTTCTATTGCCTTGATAGGGAAGATAGATTAGGATTTTTATATTGTACTAATTACATAAATATATAATACTAAACTGTCCATCTGGTGTATCCATTCGTGCCTGTTATTTATTCACAGAGTTGCCAGTGAATAGTGAAAGACGACCATGTTCTCCTCTCCCCCCCTTGAACTGCATAATGTAAATGGGGCCTAACCAGAGCTAGATATAGCTGAAGAACCACACTAGGTGTCTTGTTACTAACGCTTCGATTAATAAATCCCAGTGTCCTGTTTGCCTTATTACGAACGTTCATGCATTGATCCTTTTGTTTTAAATTCTTACTAATCATAACTCCCAGATTCCTTTCGCAATCCGACTTCGCAATCTCAACACCATCTTGATTTATCATCATTACTTAGCCTCTCCTCTCCCCCCCCCTCGTGCCATCTTTAACTCGCATCACTGTATTCATTTTCATCAAAGGCGAAGGTGGTGGCAGCATTAAGTAGTTTAACTTAACTTTTAGTTAAAGCATAATTTATAACAACTCGTTCGGTGGCGGTATCAGTGGTGATAGCCAGGTGGGTGGTGTTATAGATGGTGAAATAACAAACTATTAAAAAATACGCTGACGTTATACAGCGACGATAAAATTAATACGTCAGTGACATCACACCTTGTGCATATTTTATCACTGATTTATTTGTTAGGTTAGGATAGGTTGGGTCATATTGGGTTGAGTTTAGTTAGGTTTACTTTAAGTATACCCTTGACGTAAAAATGGGGGGGGGGAGGGAATGAACTATCAGGAGAAAGCGCCAAGCCATTACGACTATATAGCACTTGGAAGGGGTCAGGATAAGGATTTGGGATGGGAAAGAGGGGGGGGGGGCGGAGGGAAGGAATGATGCCCAACCACTTGGGCAGTCGGGGATTGAACGCCGACCTGCATGAAGAGAGACCGTCGCTCTACCGTCCAGCACAAGTGATTGGACCGGGGTGGGGGGGTGGGGGTGGGAATAGCCGGTCACAGAACCTACCTATGAAAACTTTAAGGCAAAACACTGTATAATACGAAACATATTAATAATACATATATCATCAATTTTTTTCAGAAGCAAAATATAAAACAACAGGATTATGGGATCACAAAAGGTAATTAAGATTTTACCTGAAAACGAGGTTTTTAACAAGCTATTAACAGTAATTTACACTCTGCAGAAACATGCTAAATGGATGGAGAGCCGTGTGTGATGCCTGGATGCAGAAGCAGGTGGTGGAGAGCCCTGGCATCGACACACCTGTCTGTAACCTGTACACCGCCTACATCCAGGACAACCCTGATAACTACGTAGATATAGGACAGGTGTGTAGCATGTACACTCGCATCCAGCTGTAGAGAGTTTGTGTAGACTCGCATCCAGCTGTAGAGGGTTTGTGCGAACTCGCATCCAGCTGTAGACTCGCATCCAGCTGTAGAGGGTTTGTGGGGACTCGCATCCAGCTGTAGATGGTTTGTACAGACTTGCATCCAGCTGTAGATGGTTTGTGCGGACTCAGCCAGCTGCAGACAGTTTAATGCAGACTTATAACCAGCGGCAAACTTGCACCCACATGCAGACAGTTTGATTCAAACTTGCAGACAGTCTGGTGCAGACTTACAGCCACCTACAAACACTTTGGTGCAGACTAGCATTCAGCTGCAGACAGTGTGGAGCAGACTAGCAGTCAGCTGCAGACAGTGTGGTGCAGACTAGCAGTCAGCTGCAGACAGTGTGGTGCAGACTAGCAGTCAGCTGCAGACAGTGTGGTGCAGACTAGCAGTCCGCTGCAGACAGTGTGGAGCAGACTAGCAGTCAGCTGCAGACAGTGTGGTGCAGACTAGCAGTCAGCTGCAGACAGTGTGGTGCAGACTAGCAGTCAGCTGCAGACAGTGTGGTGCAGACTAGCAGTCAGCTGCAGACAGTGTGGTGCAGACTAGCAGTCAGCTGCAGACAGTGTGGTGCAGACTAGCAGTCAGCTGCAGACAGTGTGGTGCAGACTAGCAGTCAGCTGCAGACAGTGTGGTGCAGACTAGCAGTCAGCTGCAGACAGTGTGGTGCAGACTAGCAGTCAGCTGCAGACAGTGTGGTGCAGACTAGCAGTCAGCTGCAGACAGTGTGGTGCAGACTAGCAGTCAGCTGCAGACAGTGTGGTGCAGCTGGGTATGAGTCTGCACCACACTGTCTGCAGGTGGCTGTGAGTCTACATCAAACTGTCTTCACCAAACTCACATCCAGCTACAGACAGTTTGATGCAGACTCGCAGACAGTTTGATGAAGACTTACTGCTAGCAGCAGACAGTTTGACGAAGACTCATAACCAGCAGCAAACTTGCAGCCACCTGCAGACAGTTTGGTGTAGACTCACAGCCAGCTGCAGACAGTTTGGTGCAGACAGTTGGGTGCAGACTTGCAGCCAGCGGCAAACAGTTTTGTACAGGCTTGCAAACAGCTGCAGACAGTTTGGTACAGGTTCACAGCCAGCTGCAGACAGTTTAGTGCAGGCTCACAACCAGCTGCAGTTTGGTGCACAGACTGACAGCCAAGACAAAAAGGGTAAATGTTCAACTTATGTTGTAAACTAATTTTAAAGTAGCTATGCTCTCTATTTCAACTTGCGTATTTAATTTCTGTAGTAATTTCAATCCATATAACTAAGCTAATTTGGCAAAGTCCTAATTGTCTAATATAAACCGATTCACACTTCGAAGAGATCAAGACAAAGTCAAGTAATTTAAGACTTTTTTATGCCAAATTTCTTTAAAGCTTTTTCTGAAGTCGCTGAGAATTCAGAGAAAAAAAAATTGCTCACCCCTCAAGTAAATTGTTTGTCTTGTGCAATATGTGCAAATAATCTAATCATCTCCTACAATTATATTATGGCAAACCCTTGGTTTATCCCCATCAAAGTTTGTAAAGCTGCTTAGGTGCAAGAGTGTTAGAATAAGATGTCGACAGAACTGAGCAAAACCATGCGAATGAAAGTTTCCAGTGTTAAGATTATGCATTTGTTAATAATCACATTTTATTTCTGATTTACAGTACAAGATTAAAATCATGTACAGCGTGTTCAATGTTCAGCATGTACACACTGTTCAAATATTGGCGTGGAACTCCAGCACAGTATTTGATCTTTAGTGCAGAAAAGTCATAACAAAAACCCTCATATAAATCACTTTTAATATTTCATTCTTGGCATTATTTCCTCATTTTTATAAGAAAGATTCAAATTTTTTCTCTCTTCCAACAGTTTGGAAAAGTGTTGAGTTCGAGGTATCCACATAGGAAGCATCGTCGGGGCAAACAGGGCTCACAGATCTATGTTTACCAAAATATTGCCCTCAAGGATCGATTGGCATTCTCCTCTCCATGTAAAGCTATGGCACCTTTTCTTGAATTCCCCGACCCACCAAAAGCTGGCTTGTGTCAAAGTTTCAGCAATGGTCCAACAAACAGTTTTTTTCCTGTATATTGTAATAAACAAGACCATATTCTTGTACCACCAATGACAATAGGGAATCAAAATGTTAGAGCCATATCACTGCCTATCCCTGAAAGTGCCAGTGCATCAGCTCTCACTGTAAAAGAACCAGAGACTACCACTACTCAGCTTGTTGAATTTTCACCCATTTCTCATAAAAGGAAATCTGAAAAAGACAGTGGCCAGATGTCTGATGTGCAAAAGAAAACTAAGCTTGAAGATGAAGGAAAAACTTTGTCTAAAACTGATCTTAAAGGTAATTTGTTTAAACACTTGCTCAAATGGTAATTTGTGTAACATTGACTTGTATGATTAGTTATTTAACATTGACTCTAATGGTAATTTATCTGATATAGGCTCTCCTGGTAATTTGTTTATGTACCTAATAGTAATTTGACTTGCATTGGCTCTAATGGAAAAATTTTCTTTAATGTTATCGTGATAGGTAACATGTTTAACATGTTACCTAACATGATAGGTAACATGTTTAACATGTTACCTATCACGTTTAACATTGGTCATTTGTCAAACTGATTCCAATGATAATTTGATTACTAATGGTAATTTAATTAGTGTATTAGGAATAGCAATTTCTGTTAGTAAGTGCAGTGAAACCTCGGTTTTCAAATGTCCCTGTTTTCGAATTGTTCGGTTCTCGAGTTCAATTTCTTTGACAAATTTGACTCGGTACTCGAGGTTTGTCTCGGTGCTCAAGTTTGTTGATACATGTATGGGCCGACCGAGCGTGTGGCGCACTTCACTTTATCAGTGTCTCCCGCCTAGTGACTTTCAACATTTCATTCTATTACAAAATAATTTGTATATGTTCATATACACTGTACTAATATATTTTCTCTCTTGGAATTATTTCCTCACTTTTATAAGAAAGATTCAAATCTTTTCTCTCTTCCAACAGTTCGGAAAAGTGTTGAGTTTGAGATATCTATGCTTGAATTCTTTTTAAGGAATTTCATTGTTTTTGTGCGTGTTTGGTTTCTGAACATAAGAGTTCTTATTATATATCACACTGTAGGTTCCAAGAAAGTCAGTGGTAAAGTTTAACCTAAGAAAATAATTTTGAGGATGACAATAGAAGAAAAACAAGAGATCAGTCATAGTAAGACAATTGTGATGTGTCTCACTACAGATAAGTGTTTAAACGTAGGGGAAAACAAGTGTCTATAGACAGATTCTTAGTCAGACAAGCAAGCAGTGAGCCACAACCATGTCCTAGTGGTTGGAATGCCTGCAAAACATAAGAGAGTGTACCCCAAAAATGTCATCACTCCTGTTATACTGGAAGGGGACTCTCCTTCCAAACATTAACACCTCTTCTCCTTCCCCATTACTCACTGTCTTCCATACACCAACAAGAGTCCTCAAGAAAGATAAGATATACTTGTACATAGTGTAGTACAAAATATAAGTAGTAGTATGTATAAAAGGTTTTTTTAAGTTAATGTTTTTGGGGGTGTGGAATGGATTAATTAATTCAATTTACATTATTTCTTGTGGAAAACTTCGTTTCGGTCTTTGAATTGTCTCTTTTTGAACTGAGTTAAACGTGTATGGCCAATACATAACCTTGCCATAGCCACTTTCCACCACCGGTTATAGTGGTAGGAAGAAGGCCAAGCAGACAGGCTCCGCTAAACATCATAGAATCAAATTTCCTGTAACAGAAGACCAACGACCCTGTCAACGGGCACAGATTGAGGAATGAATGACTGAGTAAAAGTCGGAATAAGGAACACCTTTGCAGGAAATGGGACAAGGGCAGATAGCCTCCTTAGCAGCAGTATCCACATGCTCATATAAGGAAAAACCAATATGGCTGGGAACCCAGCAAAACTCGACTGTCTTAAATCTGCTGGAGATAAGAAACAGCCACTGTTAAATTTTTACTACCAGGGATGGATAGGATTAAATGACTCCAGAGTCATGAGGGCACTGCAAGAGTCAACTACAATGGCAAAGGAATGTTCACAGTGTTGACAGAAAAATGAGATTCCGATTGATCTTTTCATTGACCTGAGAAAGGCCTTTAATACTGTTAACCATAACTACCTCTTAAACTCCACCATTATGGAATCCGAGGCCTTGCCTGAACTATATCTAATCCTATCTTAGTGACAGACACCAATATGTAGCCATCAATGATATAACCTCTCCCACTCTACCATTAACTGTAGGAGTGCCACAGGGCAGCATCCTAGGACCTCTACTATTTCTTATATACATCAATGATCTGCCTAATGTCTAACTTTCATATACCTTTATTATTTGCAGATGATACTATCCTCATCTACTCAGACCCCAACCCACACACATTAAATAATGTTGTAAATAATGAATTAAAGAAAGTCCGCTTATGGATGTAAACCAACAAACTCTCACTAAACATAGAAAAGACCTACTACATCTTATCTGGAAGAAAATCAACAAATGTAATTCAGCTTCAGAAAGACAGTGTTAACAACGTCAATAAAAACGATGGAAAGTTCCTTGGCCTATAACTTAGACAAGAGACTCAACAGCACCCACAAACAACACATAACCTAGAAAGTCTCAAAAATGGTTGGTATACAGTACTTTCTAAAAGCAGATATTATGTTCCAAACTCTGCTCTCCTCTCACTATACTACGTGCTAATCTATCCCTATCTAACATATGGTATCTGTGCATGTTGTTCAACCACTGCAAACTACCTCAAGCTCATCATCACCCAGCAAAAATCTGCTATCAGAACAATAACAAACTGCTTTCAGACAACACTCAGTCCCCCTGTTTAAATCCCTAAACATGTCAAACAAACTCACTCCACACATTCTCTTGTGCCATTTACATTTACAAAACCCTGTTCTTAAATACAAACCCTGTTCTGAAACTCTTCTTGGACAGATGTAATAGAACCAATCATAACCACACCATAAATAAATATATCTTTGATATCCTCAGAGTCAAACTTAATCTGTGTAAAAACACTATACAAATAAAGGGACCTAGTCTATGGAACTCGCTCCTTAATGAATTAAAAAGCTGTCCAACTTTTACCTTATTCAAAAATAAAACCAAAACTACTTAATTTTATCTTTACAGTTTCCTACCCAGTGTTTTAAACCCGCACTGTATCTAGTGCTACCCAATCCCCCAATATATGTACCTAAGCCATACAACTTTACCATTGTAATCATTGCTATACCTTATATCATAATTGTTATATTGAATGCATATTTTACTGCATTATACCTTTAAATAATCCCCAAATTATGCTACAATGTACCTGTTGATAACCCTTAAATTTTACTTTAATATACCTACTGTCAAATTTGTCAAATTTTCTTGCAACATACCTGTAAACATTTTTTCAATTTTGCCAGAAATTACCTACTTAAAATTATCTGTTAGAATAAATTAAGGACCTGCCCAAAATACTATGCATGCTAGTGGCTTTGTAAGAATGTAAAAACATCAATGCTATGTATTCTCAAACCAAATGTACCCTCTTGTATATAAATAAATAAAGTGAGCACTTTCTGCAATTATTATTTTAATAATGCATATATAGTATACATACATATATAGTGTACCGTATGTATGTATATATATATATATATATATATATATATATATATATATATATATATATATATATATATACAGTATATAATAAACATATATAGTATATATACATACTTTAGGCTTATATCATGGTCCCACCAAGATTGAATTACTGATGTTCCCAAGAATGCAACCCTCACAACAGTTCTCTAACTCCCAGGTATCTATTTACTGCTAGGTGAACAAAGGCATTAGGTGAAAGAAACCATGCCTAACCTCTTGGGATTTGAACCTGGGATTTTCCCTGGTGGTTTGGTTGTAGTTCTGTCTCTTCTGAGCCTTGATCCATAGCTGCAAATTGGTCTGCTAGAGGTGAGTTTCATCATGGCAGTGGTTTGGAGTTCATTGGCATTCATTTGGCTAATTCCTTGTTTCTTCTCAATCTATTGTCTTTTGAGGGAGCCTGTTTTTGTTCCTTCCTGTTTGGCTGGCCAGCAGGCTACCTTTGGTCAGCTCATTACTACGTTAGCTATGCCAGTTGGTTAGGGAGTTCCCAGTGTTGTCCCATGGTGGTGGCAAGGTGGAACTAATGGGTGAATGACTTAAATTCTCTGTTTCTCATTTTTGGTGTTAAGTTTTACCTTGCTCTGTTTTTGTTTCGCTCCATCTTTCTGGTTACTGATTTCTCAGGTGAAGGTAATCTAGAATCCCCTGCTCTCTGCCTCTGAGAGGGGGGGTTAGGTGTTGGACTCTGGTCCCCAGTAGGCTATTAATGAATTAAAAGGACATGGTGTGATGGCTAGCAACAAAGAACCACCGACGTCCCACCAGAAAGAAACATTTCATTACATTCAATGCTTTTTTTTGACCACTTTTTTATCTTACACCTCAGCATATCTCCTCTCACCTCACCTAATCTTTTTGCCTTGTATGGGCCGCATTCCCTTGTCAGTTTTTACTTGGTAACGATCCAGGATGAGCCTAAATATTGTAATTTTTCATTCTTTTTGTATATATGGCTTTGGTTATTTTTCAATGCCCATTATTGTGACATTCTATGCAAGATGCAGTAGGTTTTTTTCTAAGTATAGTGAGAATTTGGTTGAAGTCCATTGGAGGACTTACAATTATCTAATAACTTACAGTATCATTTACAGCATATAAATATTGATGGAAGTAGTGTCATCAGCAAGGGAAGGGAAGGGAACTATCAGGGAAAAGTGCCAAGCCATTATGTTTATATAGCACTTGGAAGGGATCAGGATAAGGATTTGGAATGGGATGGGGAGAAGGAATGGTGCCCAACCACTTGGACGGTTGGGAATTGAACACAGACCTGCATGAAGGGAGACCGTTGCTCTACCGTCCACCCCAAGTGGTTGGGCGTGTCATCAGCAAATAGCATAGGTTTAAGAAGGTTGGAAGCATTTGGCAAGCTTAACTCAAATCCATAAAAGTGTATTCAAATATTGCACTTTTTCAGATGATTCTAAGCTCCTCCTGAAAGAAGAAATGAAAGAAGAGATAGAAGTAGAAGAGAACCTTGTGGTATTTAGCCACTTCCTGACACGTTCACCCTCCCCTCAGTTAATACAATTAAGTGAGAAACAAGATGGGAGTGATGTTATATCCAAGCAAGATTCAGAAGTTTCACCTAACAAATGCTCTCCATCCAAACGTGTCAGACAAATCTCTCGCATCAACCAGAAGATGGCATTGGCTCGCCAGTGGGTTGATGCAAACCTAGTGGACAAGAAAGGAGTCATGACTACAGCCAGTGCGATTGCTGAAGCATATGCTCGTGACCATCCAAATGACCCGTTACCTCAGACTAGTGTAAGTAGTACCTGCATAGATTCACCATAAAATGAAGACGGAGAAATTTACACCTTAATGAGAGTGTTTATACCGTCACATGTTTTGTCTCTTCTGTGAATACAGTACAGTACTGTATCTATATTTACCTGAGGGCAACTACTATATCTACTGCTCTCAACAGAACTCTGGAAGTTTTGAAAAAGATTCCTTTAATTTTTCCTGAAGATTTTCTCCAGCTGAATTTTGAGCTACTATATTGTACTTACGATTTCTGATGTGTATTTTCTCAGTTTTGGATTGATCTCTGACTCCTAAGCTCATATTAAGCTCTGATCCCACCTCATAGTAAACCACATTCTGTTTCTAACTCCCAGTATTAAATGAAAAGTCTCCGAGGCCTGGTGCTATTAGTTAAAACCGCAAACCAGAGCTAAGCTCATGAAGCTCTGTGAAAAAAAAATAGAGTAAACACTACCAGTACAGGAAAAGATCACATGGTGTAGATGTATTCAATGTCGATAACACTGGGCCAGCTACAGACAGGGTCACATACACTAACTGTATTGTACCATTTTTGCCACATAAGATCATTTGAAAACTTATTTAGTATTAGTAATATATAGTTGTATTATTATTATTATTATTATTATTATTATTATTATTATTATTATTATTATTACTGAAACTGGATCATTGCTACAACTTGGTGCAAATGTATATTATTAATAACGTGAACATAGTATAAATGAATAGTATGGAAATTATTGTAAAATTCATCTTTACTTTCAGTTGACTGTTGTGATTAGAGGAAAATTTCCCACAAGAAGGAAGCGGTTTGTGGAGGACAACATACATGGCTACTATTACCGAAACTTGGAATTGGTAGGACACAACTTGCCTTCACATGCGCTTCCTGAGACATCTACTCCACAGAAGATGCCAAGCACATTTTCTGAGACGTCAACTCTGAAACAATTTCCCTTAAATATTCAAGTTAACACAGGTGATAACCCATCTGAAAATACAAGTACTAACACAACAGAAAATGAAATTAGATTATGTGAGATGGAAAAACTAGAAGAGACTAACCAGGATGTGCAGGGTATCATCACTGATGGAGAGCATATTATCATGCCAAAGAACAGGGTAAAAGCTATATGTACAGATGCAGAAGGTGAATCTTTTTCTAACCTTGCTGAAAAGGAAGAAAATGTAAATACTGATAAGATAAGCAATGAGAACAGTAATGCCACCAAGGTAAAAAACTCCAAAGATATGCCAATGATCGTAAAGGATAATGATCTTGGGTTGCCAGTGGCAGTTTTTAATCCTCCATCAGAAAGTGTCTTTGATTATCAAGGTGTTCCATGTGTGATGATTCCAGTAAATGATATATCCAGCATTACTTCAAATGTTGAAAATGCAAAACTGTTATCTACAAATCCTAACACAGTGGTATCTCCTTTAACAAAACTGTTCTCTCAGAAAGTTATTACAGATTCAGATAGTACAAAGATTTTTTCATCAATACTACCTCGTCAAAATCCTGCTCAAACACAACAAACCTCATTTGTTAAATGCAGTGATCTAGAAAACAGCACATTAAACAAAGGATATGTGTCTCAACAAGCCTTCCAGAGTAAGATACATATAAAATCAGTATGTAGCATAAATGATATGGCTCAGTCTGAATCTGTTGATACAGATGATAGACCAGATTCATTGAAATATTTAGAAAAATACAAAAATCCTAAATCTTTACCAAGCCGCATTGAGATAAAAAATCCAAGTTCACCAGCAAATTTTAATGAGAAAGAAAACTTAGAAGGATATGCACGTTCCATGGATGAGATTATACCAAATATTAAGATTGAACCAAATGAGAAAAGTGATGAGACCTCAGAAATTGGCAGTGCTGAAGCAATTCCTCCATCACCTAAGCAACACTTGCCAGATATGGGTGTACTTGACTACTTCAGGAGTGAAATGGCTGAAGATTATAAATGTTCAGTTGTAGATATGAATAGAACTTCAAGACAACAGGTACTCACTGAAGTATGCATTAGTTCTGGAGATGAATTGGAAATAATTCAGAAAGAGAATGAAGCTCTTAAACATGCACCAAAATTAACCAATGTGGAAACTAATTATAATATATCAGATGACAAAGAAGTAACAATGTGTGAAGTGAAAATAGATGCAGATGAGCATCATTTAGATAGTGCTGTTAGGAGTATAAAGAATGTAGAAACTTTAAAAAAAACTCATACTTCCAAAGTAAGTGTGGACAATTCTAAGGAGAATATACAGACAGAAACCGAAGCCGAGCCTGTCAGGCCAAACCAAAAGCGTAGTAAAATAGGTAATACAACTATACCACCTATGAAAAAAATAAAAAGTTGGGATGAAGATATCAGAAGTTTTATAGCAAATAGTAGTGATACTAGTATATTTGAATCTAGGGTTTTGAAACCAAAGCAAAAAACAAAGAAGATGAATAGCAGGAGAAAAAAATTGAAGGATTCCTTGGTTAGAAGCAGGTCAGGACACTTAAAATCAACCACCAAGTCACAAGTAGGAAAAAGTGAATCAGTCTTAAGGAATGATGAGGAAGAGGAATCATTATCAGATGGAGCTCTTGGAAATATCAGTGAATGTTTGCCAATTGCTGATAAGCAGATGGCAATTAAAGTGAAAAAGGCAGTCTTAAATGTAGCATTTGATTTGATATCAGAAACAGAAGGATCATTAACTGAATTTCAAAGAGCTAAGAAGTTGGAGGCAGCTATATTCAAGGACAATCCTGCAGTGCAATACAATAATCAAGCTGTCAGAACTCACATTAAGACTAAGAATTTGGACACCTATTGTTGCACTTCTTCACATAGGCTTGAAGATATTAAGGTGTGTTCTTTAGAGCACATAACATCATTGTTATTGCACCACCAGGCGTGTCCTGGCCTTGGGTGTCAGAAATGCCACACCCTTCGAGCTGCATATGTGCACATCACACTGTTTCGTCATCGATGTCCTGTGTGGCAATCATTTATTAAAATTGTAAGCAGACATTCCCGGATTTGTTGGAGAGTCAGTTGTTCAATAATCTTTTGTCAGTTCATGAAGCATGAGCTGCATTTATCAGGCATGTCTGTTTTGCAAAATCATCTCTTGGAACAGAGGATGATTTTAGAGGCTGAGTTTTCAGAGTGTGACAAGTCAGGACCCCACAGTGCTGACTTGCATTGCAGCCACCATGAGGCCACAAGAGTACCAGTGCCAGGGTTGGTTGAAGTACGAAACCAGCAGCAAAACCTCGCTGTAGAAGCTCGTGGTTTGAAGCTCATGTCTAACTTGCTATCAACAAATAATTCCAAAACTGAAGATATTGTGACCCCTATATTAAAGACTTTTAAAATTGCTACCTCTATCTACTACCACTCTGTAAAGAAAAAAAAGTAAGATACAGGTATTAAATTCTCCCAATATGTTCTTACCCTTAAAAGTTTGGTTATCATCTTACATTGATCTTTTGGGTAAGGCAGTATCACGTGTTGATCCTTGTTATCACCATCTGCTTTTTATACAAATGTAAATATGGTTATACATCAACTGTAATGGAGTTAACTTTGACTCTTGAAAAATATCTGCTTTTAAAAATCTGCTCATATTTTTAATTACTTACTACAGATGAGGTTATATAATACTAGCAAGACAATTATTGTTGAATTACAATTTGGCATTGCCTTCCAGTGATTGAATCTATTTCTGGACAACATTACCAGGCAGAATGGCAGTAAAGGAGTGGGATGCAAAACACACTTTAAGCTGTGACAAGAAGATTTACATGCAATATAGGTACAGTAATTACATTTTAGGCATATACAGCACTCATTTTTTGTCATTTGTGTAAATACAGTAGTTACTCCACACATTGTGTAAACTAATGTGAAACAGCAAATGTATAAACCCTCTAAAATGATCACCACAACAGGCTCCTGATTTTTTCTTTCCTGCATATGTTTAATTTTATGAGAAAATTATTATTATATTAAATTTAAATTTTTTGTGTACAGGCAGATAGATACCTTTGATCATAGCCGCACTTAAGGGGTTAAGATAAAAATATTATTTACAGTAGAATTAGATCATATTATCTTAATGATGAGCAATAAATTGATTGTATTAGGACAATAATGATTATTACTAACCTCTATGGGTTAAATGTAAGGAAAATAATTGTACTTTTTACCCATTAAAAAGATGCCCCTTAGAAAAAATTTGTTAGGAAAGCTGTATTTTTGTGACAAAAGTTTTAGTTTAGTTCATTTATTATGCACCCCATACCCATTTTGTGGGTGGTAGTGGAAAGGGTTACAGAGGCACATAATGGGCTCAGGGACTGAACCCCACAATTCATTTAGCTAAGCAAGTTACAATATTGATGAGCTAGTTACAAAATTCAGTATAAGTCGTCACATCAACAATGGGTTCGAGATCGACCACAATGTATACCTTTTATGTAATTTAAAAAAACATGCACGTACTGTAATGCTATAAATAGTAGTATTCATACTGTTATCTTACAGATATAAACAAAATACCACACTGTCACTATTGTGTACATTCTTACATCACTGTCTTTTGTGTAAAATTTGTACAAATAGCCAATTAAGTACTGTACAGTACATTTATTAACTTAAATCAACCTTTTAAGGGCTGTCTTAAAGCAAAGGCCTAATGATTCTATGGGGCCCAATTCTGCCATATTCGTCTTAAGAGGTCTCGGCAGAGTGCATACTTTAAATACTTGACATCTCGCTGGAAAGGTCTGTGATTCAAATATCTTTTCAAATTATATTTATAATATAAATCATTTGTGCATAACCATCCGATGGTAATCCTGCATTTTAATGGATGGGTGAGGCCCATCATCTGGGTAGGGGCTCCCCGCTCAGTTCATTACGTACTTTGCCCATGGGGCCTACAATGTTGTTAAAAGGGCCCTGGTCCTTTTTGGTAAGCAAGTATGTCCATTGGAATACGATCCTAATAACATTTCACCCCAGTGTTTCCCAATGCTCTGTTGGTGTGCCACCAGCCAAAAGTATACTGTATTATGAGATTCCTGTTTCATTACAGTATGTATCTTACTGGTGCTACACCTCTCATAGCTTGGTCCCGTAGATGGATTTAGGTTAGTAAGGAGACAATCTGAGACTTGATGTGCATATAGCTTCTCCCATCAACTAGGCACCATTTAGCATTCATTACAATTATGTTATCAAACATGCTTATACTGTATGTCCTTAATTTTTTTTGTTTTGAGATATATACAAGAGTTATTACATTCTTGTACAGCCACTAGTACGCATAGCGTTTTGGGCAGGTCCCTGGAATACGATCCCCACCGCGAAGAATCGTTTTACAACCAAGTACTCAGTTTACTGTTGAGTTAAACAGAGGCTACAATTAAGGATTTGCGCCCAGTAAATCTTCCCCGGCCAGGATACGAACCCATGACAAAGCGCTCGCGGAACGGCAGGCGAGTGTCTTACCACTGCACCACGGAGGTTTGTCATAGTCAGGGACAGTACAGCCCATCCTCTTGTTTTGGTAGTACTTAGTGATGATGAGGACCATAGTACATATACCGACATTCAACGCAATTAGAAAGTAGAAATCAGAAATAGAGAGTCTGGACAGGCTGGAAAATATTTTCAATTTATGTTGCAAAGACAACCTAAACTAACCTAACCTAACCTTCCTAGGCCTAATACACACTATCTGAGGCCTAATATATAACATGTGTGCACTATACTAGGTCTAGGAATATTTAAGCTTGTTTTTAGCTTCATTTTTAGGGGGACTATAAAGTGAGTAGTACAAAATTCTACTATTTAATTGCTTAGTACGTCAATGTTTGTTCAAAGGTGCACATAGTTACGAAAAGTATTATCTAAACAGGAGGATGGGTTGGACAGCATGTCTTTTAGACTTAATGAGGATTTCCTTAGGCCAAATGTAGGCTGGCATGTAAAATATATTTGTTGGCATGCGGAGTGTAGTGCCATCCCTCGATTTTTTAAACACCATGCCATATAAAAGGAAGTTACATTAATGTGATATACTTTACCTATGAGAAAATCAGTGGAGTTGGACAGAGATTAAATCAGCATCCTTTGTAACCTTAGGTGCATGTCTTAATCCATGGATCATATTATGCTAAAGATTATAAAACCTGGGGGGTCAACCAGGATCCACTAGGAGTCTGTAGACACCTAGCTGGTAGCCAATCTAAATTCTACATATAATAAATATGTAATAGATTATAAAAACTATATAATTATAAATTATAATAAATATATAATAGGTTATAAAACCTGGATCCACTAGGAGTGTAGACACTAAGCTGGTAGCCAATCTAACTTCTACATATAACCCACATACATTCTGGTGTAGGTAATGGAGTTCTCCACTAAATCCTCCCTTCAAATATATAAGGAAATCTCAGTAACGTGATACATCTAGGAGAAAATCAATGGAGCACAGTGGGAATTGATTCAGTGTCTTAGGTAACCCAAGATGTGCACCTAGCTTAACCCATGGACCACAATATGCTAAAAGTTACCAAGGATGCTGGTTCGATCTCTGTCTTACTCCAATGTCTTTCCTAACCCCATTCAAAATATGTAAATATATAATAATTATCATTGCCAAATGGAGTTTTTGCTTGTTATGAGATTATTGTTCAACATCGTAAACCACTCATTGATGAGTATTAAAGAATCATGGGTAGAATGTAACTCTTTCCATTTTGACTGCTTTCCAGAAAAGAAAATATGATTTAGCACATTAAAGATTTGTCAGTGAGTAGAAACACAATAAAACATAGTATATTAAAGATGGAGACAAACATCACAGAACAATTAAAAAAGGTATAGGTTGATTTACATTCCTTTTCATTTATTTTCATGAGGTCAGCGATGTTACATGGGCCAGACTAGCCAACATTTCTCAATTTTGTTGATGGTAAAATATGTGATGAACTGGCAAACTTGGTAACATTACCTGGACATACCATAGGGGTTGAAATATGTATGGTAATATGTTAGTGTTGATTGATTTAGGAACGACGACGATCGAGCGATTGGATGTGCCTTATGCAAGCCAGTGGACTGAGAAACAGTCCGTCTAATTACCCAAAGCTTCCTAGCATTACGTAGGTAATGAAGAAATATGATATATTTACTCACCTTAATGTTGGTGCTGAATGTAGGTATACATGTTTTACTACTAGGTGAACAGAGGCGTCAGGTGAATTAAACACGCCCAATCATTCTGTCCTGGCCGGTAATCGAACTCACAGTAGAACAGAAGTAGACTACTGTTCTACTTCTGAAATGGGTCTTCCCAATTGATGTAATACCACAGTTATGGTTAACATTGAGTATGATTAATAGTTGACAAGTTAAAGTATCAAAATATTAATTTTTTATTTATTTAAATAATATATAATATAAAATATAAATAATATAGTATTATCAACAAATATTCTTAGTATTGCCGTAATTCGTCTTCTTGAAGAGTAACTCTTACAGCGTGACTTTCTGAAGTCATGCTTACTTTCTTGTACAACAATGTAAGTAAGAACTCTTGAAGACTGCGCGCACCCAGTATGACTTTCTGAAGACTGATTCACACAGCATAATTTCCTAAAACTATGCCACAGCGTGACGTCTTGAAGACTGACTCACACAGTGTGATTTCCTGAAGACTGCGACTCACACAACGGGACTTCCTGAAGAATGTGGTTCACACAGCGTAACTTGCTGAAGACTATGATTCTCACATCATGACTTCATGAAGACTGACTCACACGGCGTGACTTCGTGAAAACTGTGCTTCCTTATTTGTATATGCCTCTGGTCTTCTCCGCTTCAATCATTATGTTGAAGACATCAGATATATACTATTAAAGTAAACTATTTCTTAGGGGAGTGATTTCAGGCTCCTCCCATGCCTTCACCGCCTCCGCCAGGGCGTCCAGTACATTTACCCAAGGTTCCAGTGAACTGCTGTTGAGGGAATTTAGGGTTAGGTACACTTTCTAGGTGTAGTTACTCTAGAGAATAAAATAAATACTTATCAAGATGAGATGAACAATGATTTATAATAAACAAATTAGTGAAAGGTAGATAAATAGATAAATACTATATATTTATTTGAATTATCCTCATGATTTTTACATCTTATGTTCTGTGATTTAGCCAATATTTAGTCATTATTGCACACTGATATTACCAGTACTTAAAAATTATAAAACTTACTTTTCAGGATTATCATAGGTAGGACCTGGCCGATACGTGTCGTCCCAGGAGTGGGGGGATGAGGTGGTGGAGGGAGGAGAGAAGGGACGGGATGTGGAGGGGATGATAGGGAGAGTGGAGGGCAGTAGGCTCTTGTAAGGAGAGTATGACTTGAAGAACAAGTCCAGTAGGAAGACCACCCAAATAACCACTATCCCCAGGGGACCCAACTCCTGCAAGTCCAGTTGACTGACCCAGTGCTTGAGGTCAGCAGTGCGGAAGCTTTCCTGCAGCTGGAACATGAGAGGGACGAGAGCGGCTAGCGCGTTGGTTGACATGGTGCCTGAAAAAGTTTTCATGAAATCACAGAGCTGTTAGCTGATTTCGCTGTACTGTTACATGCTAACTGAATAGATTTATTAACATATACAATAGCCATAACAAATGTAGTTATTATTAATAAAAACTGACATGCCGCTCTCCTTATGAATTAACGTGTACGTATATTTTACATGATTGCTATTAATGAACCTTGCTTATCCAAAAGATCACGTGGGCTCAGTTCCCGACTACTATGCGCCTCTGAATCCTGTTACATAAACTCTTACCTCAGTAGCCTATCTTGGAGCGAGGGCCAGGTTGCGCGGCGAGTAACGGTGGACTTGTAGTACCTGGACTGAGACGCCGTCCTTTATATAACCGCGAAAATGAAAGGCTCATGGACATTCCCACAGCGGGTATACCGGATGTAGAAGACATCCCTGGCCACTGGCGCAATTACCTATTGGCTGTAGGGTATTAGCGAGCAGTAGGGTATTAGTGATCATATGCATCACTCACCCTCATGTTTGTGTTCACAGCAGGAGTGTCCTAAGTCTGGAAGAATTTGTTATTGCTTTCGACAGCGGCTAGGCTAGTTTGTTGTTCATTCTATGCTTATCCTATGAGATGCTAGTTTGTTGTTCACCCCATGCTCTTCCTGTGAGTGAGCAGTTTATTATGTGCCTCAAACTCATCCTGTTAACGGTAATTAATTATGCCTCCCATACTCATTGTGAGGAGGGTAGTTTGTAAACCCGTACTTATTTTCAGTGGTAGTTTTACTGAGCAGCAAATACTCATACTGCGAGCAATAGTTTCTTGTGCAACTCTACTCATCGCTTGGGGATAGTTTGAACCGATACTCATCTTTAACGGTATAGTTTATTGTACACCCAATACTTATCCTGCGAGTTTATTGTGCACCCTATGCTCATCCTATTAGCGGTAGTTTATTTTTACCGTAGCGCAAATAAATAAATAAATAAATAAATAAAGGGTGAAAATAATTCTTAATCACAGTCCAATACGATGTTGTTTGGTATTGATCATAATAATTTATATGCACACCTAATGTTTAATTATAGTTATTGCTGCTGGTAAATGAGCCAGTACTCTTGTAAGGCACAACATTATACAATGTATATATTAATCAAAATGACTGATACAAGTCTAAACATTATGCTAAAGGATAACAGTTGCTATTTAGATGTAAAGAGACAGATCGTTGTGATCTTAGACTACCTACCTTGCGGTTACCTTGCAATGATTTCGGGGCTGAACGTCCCTGCGGCCCGGTTCCCGGCCATGCCTCTCTGGGATGACAACTATAATTAAGGTGAAATGATATTTAATGCAATGTTACTTTAGATGCATTTATAAACTACTGAATTTTCTCCGAGTTTAAGATGAAATAACCCCTACTCTTGTGTAACCCTGTATAATTATCCGAACATGCATTTTATGGGATCCGGCTCCTCATATACAAGCCGATCTGCCAGGTTACTTAGTAATAAAACGCAGGTTCGAATCCTCGTCACGGCCCTTGTGGATTTGTTCAGGTTATTTAGTATTTCCCGTGAGACCGTAATAACCTAGTTGATGCTCTGCATCCTGGTAACAAAATGCTTTTTATTCCTAGAAGAGTAATTATAATATAAACTTTCTGGAGGAGGAAAAGTCGCGTCCTTGAAGTATCGTGACGTCACTAGGAAGCAGTTGCTGTCATTATGAAGTTTGCAAGATTAGAGAGAAATGTGGAATTGCCGAATAATCACTTTATTTAAGTTTTGTTTTATTAACAAACTTAGGTATACAAAGCAATGTGCTGTTACCCTATTCTATATGAAAGATTATACAGTGTACATCAAAAACTAGTTATAAGTTTATCTAATATTCCAAAACTGGTCATTAAAACTAATATACGAGTATTTACATCTTATACACAAAATGTATTTTCCAAAATTATTATTGAAACCAAATTGATCTTCTATCCTTAATTTATTAAAAAAGTATAAATGCCAATTTATTTACGAGCACTGAAAAGATTTCGTCATTGTAGTTGACGACATGTCTAAAATACTAGTTTATCAAGAGGTGCAGCAGCGTTGTTGTGGCCAATCATCGATCGCCCTCACAAAGAGTGAGGACGCGATAGAAAGTGAAAGTCGACGACCCTTCACAGGAAACTTTATGTTCAGCCTGGCTAAGTTGAGCCTCGACGACATTCCTATACAATTCAACATCGACGACATTCCTATACAATTCAACATCGACGATATTCCTATACAATTCAACATCGACGACATTCCTATACAATTCAACATCGACGACATTCCTATACAATTCAATACCAATTCTAAAACTAACCGCGTATTTTCTACAGTTAAACGAGTATTTAGTATTAGAGTTTACTTAAAACTAAGGAGGAATACAGTGAATTATTGGGCTTCATATAAATCTTTAATTGTAAAAGTTGAACAGACGCATGTTGGCCATTTGATATACTAGTTTATTGTGCACCCCATCCTCATCTGTGAGCGGTAGCGCAAAAAGGATTACAGAGAGCACAAAAGATCTTTATCAGACCTTTATATGCGGTGAGCTAGTTTGATAATTTGATAATTTGATATTTTTGATATGATATTTGACTTTTCATTTCATCAGACGCGTTCGTCGTCCGAAATGGGGTCGTCGTCACAATTAAATTAATAATAATAACTTTATGATGATAAGAAGACTTTGTAGTTGCTTTAGAAAGTTAAACATAATGTTCTATCCGCCTTAGTAGTCTGATGGTTTAGGGGTATGATTCTCGCTTAGGGTGCGAGAGATCCCGGGTTCAACTCCCGGTCAGGCCCGATGAATTACTTTTCTGTTAAAAATCATCATGTATGAGTTAATTCTTATTTGGGTCTTGTTTTATTCTTGAAATGTGGCCTGAAACAAGCATCCCTCTGTTATCCAATTAATAAGCATCCTAAAATTACTGAATCGGGATTGCAATTCTAAATCAAAGCTGGAATAAAATATGATAATTCTGATTAAAACGTTTATTATTTTATGTAACAAATAAATAAATAACAAAATGAAAGCATGAGTGTTATAAGAATGAATAAAATGTGACACCCTGAACCACACACAACTTGTCACACGACGTAACACGCTGACAGAGTTACTCGTAGAACACTTTTGTTTCAGTAACGGATCCTAATCACTAAATATATGGTCGAAGACCACATTGTATGTCCTTTGGGTTTATTATACTTCATCACTATAGTGTCATAGTAACCACCTGAAGGTTGCCATTCGTGATGTTTGAACATCATTGTTCAGATAACACTGTTGTTCGCTTCAGGAGGTCCGTCGTCATTTACTTCAGTGTTCTAGAACACTGAGAGATGTCGATTAATTGATTGATAAAGATTAAACCACCCTAAAGGTGGTACGGGCATGAATAGACCATAAGTGGAGGTTATCTTTCGAGCCATTACCCGTATCAATAGCTGATACTAGAGATGTGTGGATGGGTTACATTACATGATGCACCATGTCTTCATAAGTGGATTTCAGCATCGGAGGGCTGGCTGTACCAGTTATGGAGCTGGTGGGCTAGTGTAGACCTCCAGGTCTTCCGTTTTTTCTTTGGCTGAGACGTGAGAGAGATGTCGTTCACTCTTTATAGCTGCTGACATATGATGAAAGACTTCATTTAAACCATCAAAGAGCACGGTTCCTGAGGGCGCTGTCCTCTGGCACCTCCCACTTTTTCACTGCTTCCGCCAGGGCGTCAAGGACATTTGTCAAGGGCTCCAGCGAGCGACTGTTGGGAGAAATCTTGGTTATTATCACTCACAGGTTACATTTAATTTTAATAACGTTACGGTGTTTAACTTATCCTGCAGGTCAGACATGAAATAATGCGCACTTTGGATTGGTGGTCATTATAGCTTTCAAGATGCAGCTTTCGTTCTTCAATTTTTAAGGCAATTAAATACTAATTTTTGTTTCAACAGACACTGGTCCATTATTTGTTGACATTGAGAAGTGAGCGAAATTAATACTGCATTTTGGAACACGCTCAACGTCCTATGGACTCACCTTCCACGGAGGGCAGGACCAAATCCCAGTTGATCCCTGTTTTCCCAGGCGTTGGCGGCGGTCAAGAGACTTCTTCGGAAGGGAAAGGAAGGTTTGGCGAAAAGGTTGAACAGGAAAAGCACGCCCACCACAACCACCGCCAGGACACCCGCCGTCTTAAAGTCCAGTTGACTGACCCAGTTCTTGAGGTCGAAATTATTGAGACTCTCCTGCAGCTGGTACATGAAGGGGGCGAGGGCGTTGGCTGCCATGGCTGCTAGAAATAAAATTATCCTTAATTTATGTAATTATAACTGATTAATATTCACTTAGCATTTGATGTTTCATATAAAATGAACCACAGATATATTCACACGTTAGTGAAATGTGCCAGCAAGTCTTGATGTTCTGATCAAGTTGTTAGAACTTTGTAAAGTCGAGTGCTTGTCCTACCTGAGTATGAGATGCGTATAGGAGCGAGCTTGAGGTAAGACGGTGAGCGGTGGAGGCTGACTGATACTCTGAGGTGCGAGCGTCCACTCTTTTATACCACTAAGAAAGGAAAAGTTTATCGGGATTACCGTAGTGGGTGAACCGGATGTTATGGGCGGGCGCAGATGCCCTGACCCAAGAGGATCTGCGCACACACACTGTAAAGAGGAGGTTATGTCACGAATCTTATTACGATTCTGCCAATTCTCCCGAACCTCGTATTATGTTATTGTTTTCTCTACGTAAATATTGCTGTCAGTTGTATAAGATTTGTGTATATAGATATATATACATTATATATATATATGTATATATATATATATATATATATATATATATATATATATATATATATATATATATATATATATATATATATATATATATATATATATATATATATATATATAACATAGATAGCTGGGTAGTGTGTGTAAGGTTTGTTTTGGTGGTGGATGTCACGTGAAATTAGCCGTGTGGGCGGTTGACAATATTTGGGAATGGTCAGGGCGATTGTTAGCAAGTCAATTGCCTATAGTTTTATATTTATTTATTTCGATATGTGGTAGCCGTAATATTTCAAGGAATGTGAGACCAGTAATTACAACTCTTAGTTAATAATGTTGGAGTTTAGGGCTGACCTTTGTAAATAGAATGTTCACAATGTTCATGCGAACGTTAATTGGTGTTTGGGTAGACGGTTAGTCGACGTTGGGCCTGCGGACCACGTCCTGCTGCAGTAGAGTGGCAGCTGCGGTCGAGTGAAGTTGTGTTTAAGCTAAGTTCTTGGTTTTTGTTTATTTTAAGCCCATATAAATATTAGTTTATCTGGATAGACGATTTTAGTGTATTTATGGCTTACTCCATATTCTGGTGGTAGTGCTCAGGTCTCAAATAATTACTTGCATTCTATAGTATTACATGCTGATAAATATTTCTGGCTACTATTTATTTAATTGTTGTTAAGTTGTCACCCTTAGCAAAATATATTGTTCTCCCGTTTTTATACAGTGATTAATTATACCCCTAGACACCTATTGGCATGGCAGATTGTTATTTGTTCTTTACACTGTGGGGAGAAGAACATTATTTAGTCTCAAGGGTCGTGACAATATATGAGCGCTGAAGGATGTGTACTGCTTTCGGTACGGTGTGAATAACCTCTTGTAGAGACAATTGAAAGTTCTCTAGACAGTCTTGAGAGGAGAATGGATGGTTTGTTGGGCTCTGAATTATAGAAGTTAAGAACAGGGTTGTTAAAAAAATCGTGTTTTTTTCTTAAAACCCCCCGCCCGGGTTGGGGCTGGTTGAGTTTTATCTATTTATCTATCTATTTTTTTTCAAACAACGCAATTTATACTTTAAGCTCAATTACTATTAAGTTTTAGTCTAAATGGTTTTTTCCCCCACCTCACCTTGCCCGAAACGCTATGCGCACTAGTGGCTTTAGGTATTGTATGTACTAGCTCTATCTTTAAATCAAACGGAATGTTTGTACTGTAACTCTGCAACTTCGTATGTACTTTTCCTAAATAAATTATTATTATTATTATTATTATTATTTCATTTACAGATAAAGAATGCAAATTTAAATTTAAATATAAATAAGTTGGCCATATTAAAAAAACTTTTTTTAACATGCTCGGGTTTTTCAACTAAAATGTTGGTACAGGTGGATGTTTGTAAGGGTGACTGTAGATGAAACTAAATGATGTAACAAATCAACAAGGGCCGTGACGAGGATTCGAACCTGCGTCCGGGAGCATCCCAGATGATGTAACTGCTGTTGGATGAAGAAAGTAGCGTGGTGCCCCTATCAGGGAGTAAACAATGCCAAAATAAACATATGATCATTAACTCCAGGAGGTCAGCGTGGAGGCCTTCTTGTGGATATTAACATAAGAACTAAGAAAAACAGCAGAAACCCCCATTGCTCCATACGTGGCAGCTCCCATTTATATCCACCCAAACCATTCATATGTGTCTAATCTACGCTTGAAACAATCAAGTAATTCCACGTCTGTTATGTTTCCCGGAAATTTGTTCCACAATAAATGTAATATGTAGAGGCTGGGAGAGTGAGGGCTGGGAGAGTGAGGGCTGGGAGAGTGAGGGCTGGGAGAGTGAGGGCTGGGAGAGTGAGGGCTGGGAGAGTGAGGGCTGGGAGTGTGAGGGCTGGGAGTGTGAGGGCTGGGAGTGTGAGGGCTGGGAGTGTGAGGGCTGGGAGTGTGAGGGCTGGGAGTGTGAGGGCTGGGAGCAAGGGCTGGGAGTGAGGGCTGGGATTGAAGGTTGAGTGTGAGGGCTGATAATGAAGACTGGGAGTAATTAGGTAAAAAATAAGTTATAAAAGTACATACAGTTTATTAAGACTACAAAACCTAAACATTAACTATGTAATGTAATTTCTATTAGTTCCTGATGCTGCATGAGAGCGTAAGCTTAAATAATATACTGCACAGTACCTATAATATTTTAAATACACAAACTTTATGACAAATTCATATGACATATTTTCGTTTGAAATAAAATTTTATTGTTTTTCTTTTTCACTAATAACATAACGTGTATTCCTAAGCTTGTTAATAATAATAGAAAAACAGAATCTTGTGGCATTAAAACAAAATTATTAACAGGGGTTATTAAAGCAGATATCTGCTTTAATAACGCATCTTCAGGAGTTTCCATGGAAACATCTGTGGCTGGCTGTGATGACGTCAGGAGAGAAAGTGTTGACTGATGACGTCACACCTCAGGGAGGGGTCACTAGGATATTCTTATCTTGTTCTTAGGTTGATTCTGGATAACAACAACGTCTTATGGGAGTTTATTACATTAGATTTTGTATATATATATATATATATATATATATATATATATATATATATATATATATATATATAAAATATATATATATATTATATATATTCTAAGACAAAGAAGACTACCGACCTCATCAAACACAGCCCGAAGCCGACGGAGAACCCTCTACAGCAATCAAGCGTTGTATACATGTACACTTGCCCCCACGAAGGATGTAACCTACAATCTAAGTACATAGGTATGACGTCGACCAAGCTGACGAGGCGTTTGACATGCCATCTTCAATCCGGTGCCCCCAGGAATCACATGAGATAAGCCCATGACATAAACATATTCGTTGATAACGACAGGAAGTTCTCGATTTGTGATCCTGGCACGATTATTCTCGATATTTCTTATGTTTTTTTTTTCACTGAAGCAGGAAGTTGAAAAATTAACTCTCCAAAGTTTATTTTTACTTTTTATTGGGTCTGACGCCTAGCGATTCGTTTCACAAGGTTACTCCTCACATTTTCAATGACAAATTCTACCGATTGATTGATGAAGATTAAGCCACTCAAGAAGTGGCATGGACATGAATAGCCCATAACCAAAATTATACCGTGTTGTTGTTGTTTAAGATTCGCTACTCAGAACAATAAGTTCCAGTAGCACGGGCTATGGTGAGCCCGTAATTATACTGTGCTTAGCACCGGGTTATATCCTCTTATGGTGAGGTGGTTCGGTAACATATGGATGAATAGGTAACTTACGGATGAACAGGTATCATATTGATGAATGGCATTACTGTCTAGTCTTAGGCGTGAATTAGCACATATATGTTCTTTACTAGTACAAGAAAAAACCAGGTTTGGTTGTTGCCGTCTTTCTTGGTTCTCTATACAAACTAAAGCTAATAGTACAAATCGTGGACTTTTGTGTACTATGTTTGAAGGCCAGGATGTACCAGGGTAACAATGTTTGGAGCTGGGACCAATGCCACTCACCTGAGGGGCCAGATTCACGAAGCAGTTACGCAAGCACTTACCATCCTGTACATCTTTTCAAAATATTTGGCGGCTTTGTTTACAATTATTAGATAGTTAATGAGCTCCCAAGCACCAGGAAGCTGTTTATAACAATAACAACAGTTGATTGGCAAATTTCATGCTTGTAAACTGTTTAATAAATGTAACCAAAGCCGTCAAAGATTGAGGAAAGATGTACACGTTCGTAAGTACTTGCGTAACTGCTACGTGAATCTGGCCCCTTGGCACTAGGAGACTCGAACCCTGGACCCCACGCGTGTGAGGTTCTAGGGCCACTGGTCGGTGGCAAATATGCACCTCGTAATTAGTAACGGCACGAAGCAAGTACGAAAACTGTACAGAAATTCCCGTAAGGAAACTAATAACATAATTTAGCGAGAGTTCTCAACTCTACTCTCTCTCGTGGCATAAAATACTTCATTGTTTTCACTGTGACCAACATAAGACAAAACCTATATTCCCCCTTTAACAGATTAGTAACTGTTGATGGTCGTGGTTGAAATTGAAATAAGTTTATTGAGGTAAAATACACACAAAGGGATGAGGTAGCTCAAGCTATTCTCACCCCGTTCAGTACATCGTGTTAATACATACATATAAACACATCACAAACAATAAACATATTACCAAACATTGAGAGATAAACATCTACGTTTCCTATGGTCGTGGTGTGTCCTCGTTAACGTACACCGTTGTGTTTCTACACGATACTCTCTAGATATCTAAAAGATACTTAACAGTGCGATGCCAGGCAGTATGTTGGTAAGGGAAAAGTTGCACTTCTGGAGGAAATACTTTTCAGTTCGTCATGGTTCATTCGGGAGTGAGTGTGTCTGGGGAGTCCATGGATGTAGCTTCCGTCCCATTGTACAGCCTCAATATTTTCAATAATAAATACATCACCTTCTTGTGGTGTCTTTGAGGAATATGTTTATATTTTCTTAGGCAAGTAAATATGAATCATTATCAATCAACTCAACCTAACTACAGGTCCACCGATCAGTTGATAGGCGGCAACATAAGACTTCGTTGATAGACCGCCTGTCAACATGGCGGACAATCAGCCCGCCATGTTGGCAAAACTGTACCACAGTTGTTGTTGTTCTAGATTCAGCTACTGGGAACAAAAATTTCCAAGTAGCACGGGCTATGGTGAGCCCATAGTGGACTTAACTGGCGCAGGAGCTGGGCTCTATGTCCCACAGATTACGCTGTTTCTTAGCGTAACTGAGTTAGGGTTGTGTCTAAATCAAGGTATATATAAATAATATAAATTATGATTTAGATCAAATTTATGTAAAAAAAATAAATAAATGATATAAAAGACATGAGTGTTACGAACAATTACATAAGGTGGTGCCCTGAGTTACTACATAGCAACAGTTTATCAACACGAGTGACCAGCTGCAGGGACGCTACTGCACCATCTGGTTCCAAGTAACCATCTGGTTACTTCGAATCAGATCTGAAATCAAGTTCGTCTAACATTGTTGGCTATTTCAAGTTGACTTGTCATCATCAACTTCACGGTTCAAGACCTCTGGCTGTTGTGTCTTTGGTTTCTTTTTTATTTCTTCATTGACGTTTCTCGTAACAAGAATTCTTCATCTGACCGCTTCAGAGAGCACGATTCCTGACGGCGCTGTCCTCAGGCTCCTCCCACTTCTTCACCGCCTCCGCCAGGGCGTCGAGGACATTTGTAAAAGGCTCCAAGGAACGGCTGTTGGGAAGAGAGCTTGTTTAGTTTCATTCGCATGTTAAATTCAAAAGACTTTGTTTCGTTTTAATGCGGGTCAGCCATGAGCTTAAAAATACCCATGCATAAACTGTTTGGCCCCACCAGGATTCGAACCTGGTCGGCTAGAGGTCAACCCACTGACTACCCAATGCCAAGACCACCTCACCCGAGGCAATAGATGGTAGAGTGGTCTTAGTTCTGGGTATCCAGGGGGCTGATCCTGGCCTTCCAGGTTCGCATCCTGGTATAAGGCCAACGATTTTGGTGAGTTATGGGTTGGAGACCATTCAAGCTTTATCACATGCCCTTACATTTATATATTTATATATAAAAAATATCAAATATTGAGCCATTTGCAGGCGATGAGTCACAATAACGTGGCTAAAGTATGTTGACCAGACCACACACTAGAAGGTGAAGGGACGACAACGTTTCGGTCCGTCCTGGACCAATCGACTTGAGAATGGTCCAGGACGGACCAAAACGTCGTCGTCCATTCACCTTCTAGTGTGTGGTCTGGTCAACATTGAGCCATTTTTCAGAAGCTGCTTATATTATGGATACCTTAATATTCATAGTCGATAAATTATATGCTAAATATATAAAGTATTACGGCGAGCCTGAAATTGATAATGTTCAGTGTCTGTTAAAAATGCATAAATATGATGCTCACCTTCCACGGAGGGCAGGACCAAGCCCCAGTTGATCCCTGCTGTCCCAGGCGTGGGCGGCGGAGGACAAGAGACTCCTGCCGTAGGGAAGATAAGACTTCGTTACCAGGTTCAGCAAGAGGACGATCCCCACGACTATCAGTGCCAGGACACCCGCCGTCTTAAAGTCCAGCTGACTGACCCAGTGCTTTAGGTCAACATTACGGAGACCTTCCTGCAGCTGGTACATGAAGGGGGCGAGGGCGCTGGTTGGCATGATGACTGAAATGAAAATTATATCAGTTCACTACCGGTTCTGAATTAAAACAGAACATTCTAATTTGTTTTGTATTTAGTCTGTGTAACTTCCAATGATTTGCAAACAGCAAGCACTTCATACCTCAGTAACTGAGGTGTTTGAGAGCGTGGATGAGGTGACACGAGGAGCGACAGAGGCTGACTGATCCACAGGGTGGAGTCCACAACCTTTTATACCACCGCGAGAATGAAAGGAGCTTGGAGATTCCCGGAGTTTGCAGAGCGGATGTTGCGAGGGACATTGACTGTGTTATCCTGTGAGGCGCGTGTTATCCTGTGAGGCGTGTGTTATCCTGTGAGGCGTGTGTTATCCTGTGAGGCGTGTGTTATCCTGTGAGGCGCGTGTAGTACCAGAAGGCATAGCCGCAGATGCCACTCTGTATATTGGTGAGAAACTAAAGTGCCACAGTCACTCATCTGTGACTCCCAGGCAAAGACCAGGTAAATGATGGTTAATTACCATGTTAATTACCAGGTTAATTGTATCCTGGTAGCCGGTGCCACCTTCATCCTAAAAAAGGAAATCTTGTGTTACGTTTTTAACATTACTGACATTTGATGCAATGATAAATTACTTTTAGCGAATATAGGTATAATAACAAAAGGTAGCTGAATGCACTAGTTATCTTCTCATATTGGCTGGCGTGTAACAGTTAGTTACAGTTGACAGTTACACTCACTGTTAGTGTGAGTGTAACTGTCCTGCCCAGGATGACTTCAGACACTATTGTCAAGTTACTTTTGCTCTTATGTAATAGTTTTGACCTAAAAGAGCTTGTATTATCAAGCTTCAGCTCCTGGAACACCTTTTTTCAAATTGTCCGTTGTCTTATGTAACGACTTTCCATCACATAATTTATCGGATCTTCTTTTTGATTTTGGATGCACATATCCTGCTTGATGGTTGAGTTACCCTACTGCCTGGGAGGTTTGTTCATGAGTTACTGTACTACGTGGAGAGTTCCTGCTTGAGTTACTGTACTACACGGAGGGTTCCTGCTTGAGTTACCGTACTAAGTGGAGGGTTTCTGCTTGAGTTATCGTACTACGTGGAGAGTTCCTGCTTGAGTTACTGTACTACACGGAGGGTTCCTGCTTGAGTTACCGTACTAAGTGGAGAGTTCCTGCTTGAGTTATCGTACTACGTGGAGAGTTCCTGCTTGAGTTACTGTACTACACGGAGGGTTCCTGCTTGAGTTACCGTACTAAGTGGAGAGTTCCTGCTTGAGTTATCGTACTACGTGGAGAGTTCCTGCTTGAGTTACTGTACTACACGGAGGGTTCCTGCTTGAGTTACCGTACTAAGTGGAGGGTTTCTGCTTGAGTTACCCTACTGCCTGGGAGGTTTGTTCATGAGTTACCGTACTACGTAGAGAGTTCCTGCTTGAGTTACTGTACTACACGGAGGGTTGCTGCTTGAGTTACCGTACTAAGTGGAGGGTTTCTGCTTGAGTTACCGTACTAAGTGGAGGGTTTCTGCTTGAGTTACCGTACTACACGGAGGGTTCCTGCTTGAGTTACCCTACTGCCTGGGAGGTTTGTTCATGAGTTACCGTACTACGTGGAGAGTTTCTGCTTGAGTTACCGTACTACGTGGAGGGTTGCTGCTTGAGTTACCGTACTAAGTGGAGGGTTGCTGCTTGAGTTACCGTACTACGTGGAGGGTTCCTGCTTGAGTTACCGTACTACACGGAGGGTTCCTCCACGAGTCATTGTGGAGTAGTGAATGAAAGTGAAAGTCGTGATGTGTGACGTCACTCAAGGTGGCAAAGTTCCGGCCAAAACTGTTACGTACCTTTTCCGACGCTTTTATATTGATGAATAATTCATCACCTTTGTCAATGAATTTGATCGTTTTGATATAGTTGCTTAATTTAGAACCTGTACTTGAGGTCGATCTCGAACCCAATGTTGATGTGACGACTTATATTGAATTTTGTAACTAGCTCATCAAGATTGTATCTTGCTTAGCTAAATGAATTGTGGGGTTCAGTCCCTGAGCCCATTATGTGCCTCTGTAACCCTTTCCACTACCGCCCACAAGATGGGTATGGGGTGCATAATAAATGAACTAAACTAAAACATAACAAAAGAACGTAAAAATCAACGATGCACAAGAACACAAGACCTTTAGAACAAGAACATAAACATGGGTTTATTTGTCAAAAACTGTGTGTTTGTTTCTCTGGTGTTCTGAGTTCAATTCATTGACATAACGTAAGAAGGGTTTGAGACACTCTGGACGTCTCTGTTGCTCAATCGTCTCTGGTTTTGTTTAATGACTATATCTTCTGTTCAAACATTACTAAGAATAAGAATCGACTTGAGTATGGTCCAGGACGGACCGAAACGTCGTCGTCCCTTCACCTTCTAATGTGTGGTCTGGTCAACTTACTTTAGCCACGTTATTGTGACTCCTCACCTGCATCTGGAATAAGAATGTTGGTTTAAAAGGATAGGACTTAGCCTAATCATTCACTTAGGATCATAGGTAATTGTCTTCTTTAATCTCTTTTGATGCATTTTTTTCATTTCAAGAAATATTAACACCATAACAATTTAACATAATTTAGATTCTAGAATTTTTTTTGTACATATAATTGACAAATAAAATATAACCAGAATATCAATATTGTACTCACCTAGTTGTGTTGGCGGGGGTTGAGCTCTGGCTCTATGGTCCCGCCTCTCAACTGTCATTCAACTGGGGGCATTGTTAATCAATTGTTGTGATTAATTTTAAGTCAATTTTAAATCAATTTTAAATCAATCAATTGTAGCATTGTTAAGATGTTTATGTTTGGTCTGACAGCTTGATCTCTGAAGGAGAACATTCCTCCACTTGTACACTTCAATCTTGTCACCCCTAAATCTTCGCCTTACTAGAGAATAAATTAAGCTTATACAATCTCTCTTCATATGGTCGATAGGTCGTTGAGTTACCGTAGTTAACGATAGGTCGTTGAGTTACCGTAGTTAACGATAGGTCGTTGAGTTACCGTAGTTAACGATAGGTCGCTGAGTTACCGTAGTTAACGATAGATCGCTGAGTGAGTGGTGGGTCGAAGTGCGAAATTTGTGTCCACCAATATATCCAAAATTTGCTTGTCCATTTTAAATAATAAAGAACAATTTTATATTATTTTTAAGCTGCATCAACTGTCACAATAGACAGTTGATTTCACATATTCATACATTAAAACATTGATTGTAACCATGATATATATGTGCTTCACCCTACACTTTAGACCTATTGTCTTGTGTTTGACCCTCTGTCCTGCGTGACAGTGAATACCAGCATTATCCTCACTTTAATAAGACTTAATTGAAATCCTCAGATTAGGCAAAACTGTAATTAAATTTTGTCAATAAAGATGTTTATAATAATAATAATAATAACGATTACAGAGTAACAGCGCATCACTCTCAGTATGTAACCAGGTACAGAGATACGTCTCGGGTTTAATGGCAGTTACAGATTACAGCAGAGAAGCTCCACACACTATATCTAATTCCCCCTTGCTAAAGATAGGAAGCCTGTGCACAGATTTGATCAAGATCCCCCTTAAACCTTCCCCAGGACGCAACCCACAATAGTTGTCTAATTGATTGATTGATTAAGATTAAGGTGGCACGGGCATGAATAGCCCGTAAGTGGTGGCCCTTTGGAGCCATTGACAGTATCTAGAGCTGATTCTGGAGATCTGTGGATGTCTGCTGAGTTGTCTAATTCCCGTGTTTCTGTTTTATTACTAGATGAACCTAGGCATCAGGTGAAATGAAACGTGCTCAATCGTTTCTGTTCTGCGCTGAGATTGAACCGGGTTCGTTGGCTGTGAACCGAGGACGTAGACCACTCTGCTAAGATGCCGGTTTAGCGTGAAATTATGAAAGTTCTCTGTCATTCTTATAGTGAGGAATTAATTAATGTTGCAAACCATTCTGCCGTGTTCAACGAGGATTTGTAGTGCAATACTGTAATAGTATTTCAGAGTTGTTCAACTTTATATGTATGTATGTATGTATGTATGTATGTATGTATGTATGTATGTATGTATGTATGTATGTATGTATGTATGGCCTACGAGGCTCTGTAACACCATCTATCCACATGGTGTATCTATAAATTGTCAAACTGTCTTCTCTTTAACCTCTGAGCACTGCAAAATTTATACCAGCTCAAAACGGATGTAATGTAACTGAGCATCGAACACATATGTACACACACATATGTATATGTATATATATATATATATATATATATATATATATATATATATATATATATATATATATATATATATATATATATATTGGTCCATATTTCTTGATGCTTCTATATTGGAGCGGAGTCTTGAGGTGGGTAGAATATAGTTGTGCATTAATTGGCTGTTGATTGCTGGTGTTGACTTCTTAATGTGTAGTGCCTCGCAAATGTCAAGCCGCCTGCTATCGCTGTATCTATCGATGATTTCTGTGTTGTTTACTAGGATTTCTCTGGCGATGGTTTGGTTGTGGGAAGAGATTATATGTTCCTTAATGGAGCCCTTTATATATATATATAAATAGAATATAAGCAGCATTTGCCTCGTATGGGCCAATAGGTCTTCTACAGTTTCCATAATTTTTATGTTCTTGTGAAGACGAAACATCAGACGCTTGTAATATATCATTCATATTCCGTATTTATTGAGTTATGATCACACTTCTTAGATAAAGAATACACAATTTCATTTCTTATTTATTAACATTTATATTTTACATAATAAATAAATTATAGTATATAAAAAAATATTAGTGTTAGAAACAAGTGCTTAAGGCGAGAAGACTGGAGTGCACAGCAACGGCTTTGAGACGAGCTATGAAGCTGAGACAGACTCCTAGGGCCAGATTCACGAAGAAGTTACGCAAACACTTACGAACCTGTTCATCTTTTCTCAATCTTTGGTGGCTTTGTTTACAATTATTAAACAGTTAATGAGCTCCGAAGCACCAGGAGGCTGTTTATAACAATAACAACAGTTGATTGACAAGTTTTCATGCTTGTAAACTGTTTAATAAATGTAACCAAAGCCGTCAAAGATTGAGGAAAGATGTACACGTTCGTAAGTACTTGCGTAACTGCTTCGTGAATCTGGTGTTTGTACTCTGACTTGTCCAACATTGTTGTTCGCTTCAGACAGCTTCGACATCATCAGCTTCATGGTTAAAAACAATAAACAAAAAACAGACGAAGTTCACTTTTGATTTAGCTCTTCTTTGTTGACTTTGGCATAATACTGAAGACTTCCGTTAACTCTTCAGTGAGCGCGAGTCCTGACGGCGCTGTCCTCTGGCTCCTCCCACTTCCTCACCGCCTCCGCCAGGGCGTCGAGGACCTGTGTTACAGGCTCCAGCGAGCGACTGTTGGGAGAGATCTGAGGTTAGTTACACTTGCAGGTCACAGATAATTTCGATATCAAAATATCAGTTCGTTTATCCTTTCTATTCAGAAAAGATGTCTTTCAGATGTCTTTAAAGATGTCTTCGCTGTCTTTCAGTAAAGATACGTTGCACATTTGGTTAAATTTTGACCATTATGGGATTAAAGATGCATATTATGATAAATTTTTTAGTACAAGGTCGTGAAATCGAACACGTTAATTCACTGTTTATACACATTATATTTTGTAATTGTTTAGGAACTATACATTTGCGTTTTTTGGCATAAGGATTCATCGAAACTGAAATCATTACGTCTTGTAATATATATTAAAAGCCTTATGAAACTCACCTTCCACGGAGGGCAGGACCAAATCCCAGTTGATCCCTGTTTTCCCAGGCGTTGGCGGCGGAGGTCAGGAGGCTCCTACCGAAGGGAGAGAAAGGCTTGCCGAAGAGGTTCAGCAGGAGCAGGGCGCCCACCACAACCACTGCCAGGACACCCGCCGTCTTAAAGTCCAGTTGACTGACCCAGTTCTTGAGGTCGAAATTATTGAGACTCTCCTGCAGCTGGTACATGAAGGGGGCGAGGGCGTTGGCTGCCATGGCTGCTAGAAGTAAAATTGTCTTTAATTTATGTAATTATAACTGATTAATATCCACTTAACATTTGATGTTTCATGTAAAATGCACCACAGATATATTCACACGTTAGTGAAATGTGCCAGCAAGTCTTGATGTTCTGATCAAGTTAGAACTTTGTAAAGTCGAGTGCTTGTCCTACCTGAGTATGAGATGCGTATAGGAGCGAGCTTGAGGTAAGACGGTGAGCGGTGGAGGCTGACTGGTACTCTGAGGTGCGAGCGTCCACTCTTTTATACCACTAAGAAAGGAAAAGTTTATCGGGAATACCGTAGTGGGTGAACCGGATGTTATGGGCGGGCGCAGATGCCCTGACGTTAAGGGATAGTAAAAGGGGGATGTAACAAGGGTTAACATTTAAGAACATAAGAACATGAGAACAAAGGTAACTGCAGAAGGCCTATTGGCCCATACGAGGCAGCTCCTATCTATAACCACCCAATCCCACTCATATACATGTCCAACCCGCGCTTGAAACAATCGAGGGACCCCACCTCCACCACGTTACGCGGTAATTGGTAATTTATGAGAGAATATTGAAGTCGGATGGTACTGACTCTTCAGACTCACATGTTACTTGTCTGGTGTGTATTGGAATATACTGTTAATGGTTATATAATATATAACCATTAACTAGCTCGTCACTAGCAGTATAGTTGTAAGGGTTTTGTTAACACATTCTGTATAACAAGAAGTAAACAGCATTGTTTTATAATATCTTAGAATTATTCTCATTGTAATTATAATCCATTTATTCAAGAAATGGATTATAATTATAATCCATTATAATCTTATGCCTGTCAGAATAATAGCATAAGAATAATGGCAAAGAAAGAATGTTACTTAACTGTGCAGTTAAATATTACAGAATTTATACTGTAGTTTCTTGGTGCTGAATCGCCGCTGAAATTAATTGAGACAATTGCTACTTTTGAACGATGACAAATTATTCGTAGAAGCATGAATAGTTTCCAAGCAACTGTGGCAGCCTCGTTACTGTTGGTTTTCCTCACGATCAATGTGGCTGTCATATACACAGTATTGATCATAAGAACGAAATAACACAAGAATTAAGAAAACTGCAGAAGGACATTGGATATGCGAGGCATATGTCGTTTTTAAATCCACCCAAAATATTATTTTTATGCTATCTGGCAATTTATTTCCAAACGCCACATTCACGAAGCAGTTACGCAAGTTCTTACGAACGTGTGCATCTTTCCTCAATCTTTGACGCCTTTTATTTACATGTATTAAACAGTTTACAAGCATGAAAACTTCCCAATCAACTGTTGTTATTGCTAGAAACAGCCTCCTGGTGCTTCGGAGCTCATTAACTGTTTAATAATTGTAAACAAAGCCGCCAAAGATTGATAAAAGATGTGCAGATTCGTAAGCGCTTGCGTAACTGCTTCGTGAATCTAGCCCGTACAAATCAGCATTTACCCAGGTTCTTCCTAAATCTAAACTAATCAAATTTATATTGCTTCGTGTCTTATTTTGTGTATATATATAAAACCTTAGTTATATCCCCTTCGATCGTATCTCCAATCAGTGACACGTTAGTAACTTGTGTTCCATGACAAACGCGACAGGAAACTCTGAGCCCAGATCAATATTCAAATGAATATAATCTTTGTCTCACAGTAAATCTATAACGATAAATTCCAATTACATATTTACAATAGAAATTTCATTTCTATTTTTAGTTGCATATGCTTTCTAATTCTTGATAAGTTGGGGTGAGAAAAACATCCAAATATTTCGTGTTTGACTTTGGTAACGACTGGCGGCTTATTGCTCAATAATAATAATAATAATAATATATATATATATATATATATATATATATATATATATATATATATATATATATATATATATATATATATATATATATATCAGTGAAGAACTATATGAATACAACCAGGGCTCGAGCTTGCATTACCAGGCTCATCCCGTGGCGTACACAGTACCATGGCAACTTTACCAGGATACACTTGGGCTACACCCTCACCACCAGGATACACTTGGGCTACACCCTCACCACCAGGATATACTTGGGTACACCCTCACCACCAGGATACACTTGGGTACACCCTCACCGCCAGGATACACTTGGGTACACCCTCACCGCCAGGATATACTTGGGCTACACCCTCACCACCAGGATATACTTGGGTACACCCTCACCACCAGGATACACTTGGGTACACCCTCACCGCCAGGATACACTTGGGTACACCCTCACCGCCAGGATACACTTGGGTACACCCTCACCGCCAGGATATACTTGGGCTACACCCTCACCACCAGGATATACTTGGGTACACCCTCACCACCAGGATACACTTGGGTACACCCTCACCGCCAGGATACACTTGGGTACACCCTCACCACCAGGATATACTTGGGTACACCCTCACCACCAGGATACACTTGGGTACACCCTCACCGCCAGGATACACTTGGGTACACCCTCACCGCCAGGATACACTTGGGCTACACCCTCACCACCAGGATACACTTGGGTACACCCTCACCGCCAGGATACACTTGGGTACACCCTCACCACCAGGATACACTTGTGTACACCCTCACCACCAGGATACATTTGAGTACACCCTTACCACCAGGATACACTTGAGTACACCCTCACCACCAGGATACACTTGGGCTACACCCTCACCACCAGGATACACTTGGGCTACACCCTCACCACCAGGATACACTTGGGAACACCCTCATCACCAGGATACACTTGGGCTACACCCTCACCACCAGGATACACTTGGGCTACACCCTCATCACCAGGATACACTTGGGAACACCCTCACCACGAAGCGTATATCGTTACATCACTCAGAGCTCCGGTGACCCATTTCTCGTGGCGTCTCCAGTCCTGCGTGAGCCACGACCTCACCTGGAGCGACGAGGGATGGGGAAGGATTGGGGATGGATAGTATGGGGGATGGGGGAGGATTGGGGATGGATGGTATGGGTATGGGGAAGGGTTGGTGACTCAAGATCCTGTTTTCTTATACTCAAAAATTCAACACCCCTCCTGCCACACTTTCATAATTGAAAAAGTCATAAGTGCAAAAAAGTTACATCACTAGCATTTATATTAATATGCTTCAAACATTGAAATATTAAAAATTTTGGGAGAAATTCACAAGGAAAATGCATTTTAAAAGTCATCCTGCCTCACACCTTTATTTCTCAAAATCTAGTGACAATGTGATACATGTAGTTTCCTCTGGACAAGCAGCTTGGAAATTAGTGGCAATGTAAACAAATCCACAAGGGCCGTGACAAGGATTCGAACCTGCGTCCGGGAGCATCCGGGAACGTAGTGGCAATGTATTTGCCAAGGCCAATCTCATATCATCGTCAGTAATTAGCTAGTTACTTGTCTTTGTTTTAGTGTGAAAAACTGTTGAGAATTCAGTCTCACAGAGACAGGTGGAAGTAAATAGTAACAGAATTCGGAAGGCAGACATGGTGAGATTGGGATACGGCTGATGATTAGCACTCCAGAATTGAGTCAGTGATTATCCATAATCACTGACTTTGCGGATCACGTTCCGCATATTCAAGAATTCATCCTGGACTTCATCGGGAGTTCCAGGTACTTCCAGGGAAAGAATGAATGGGTTTTGTTGTAGTGGTTACAATTTCACTATAAAACTGGAATCCTTCATTAATATCTGAATTAATATACCTTATAAAGACAAGCAGCTGAGAACATTGACTCACATATGTTGATATATAACGATACGTTGATATATAGTGGTGTGTTGATATATAGTTTGTGGTGATATATAGTATAGAGTGCAAGGAAGGGCAGATGAAAGGGAAGCGTGGGTTGAAGAGGGACGTCAACACCAGTTTTCTGATGAGATTATGTGATGAAATTATGTGATTTTTTATCCAATTCATTGTTTTGGTGTCAATAAATTGTATACACAGTCATTAATAGTTGATGCTAAGAACAATTTTTACCATGTATAATATTTAAAAAATATTGTATTAACCCTATAAAATGCAAAATTGTCCTCAATGTGGAAATATTTCCTTTTATTATATAACCAATTGTCATAAATTATAAGAACTTTTATGAACTATAAACAAAGTGCCGCGAGTCCACAGAATCACTTGGGTATTGAAGATAGATATAGATAAAGGTGGGAAGGGTAAATGACCTATAATAAGTATCCGAAACTAAAGCCAGAAGGCTTAACAACTGACGTGGGAAGGCCCCAAGGTCTTCAAAAGTATCACTGAGAAGCACACAGGCAAAACAAGACAAAACACGACACATAGAACCACGGGGTAAACCCAAGTTGTACACATGGCCGTGTGACTCATTCACGTCTTCCTTTCACTATACGCTATTCCAGAACAGGATCCAGAGACCACTCACCCGTCCCTCTCACTCACCATTCCCTCCTTTTCCCTTTCTCTCCCAGCTCCCTCCTCCATCCCCTCGACGATCTGACCTTGGCCGATGAAAGTAACGTGAGGCGGAGCTAGAGTCGGGTGGGGCCCCCAGACATCGCGTCACCGCAGCTATTTTGTTCAGGTTTACGCTGTAGGGCTGAGGATTGATTGATAAGGATTATGCCACCCAAAAGGTGGCACGGGCATGAATAGCCCGTAAGTGGTGGCCCTTTTGAGCCATTACCAGTATCAAGAGCTGATACTAGTGATCTGTGGAGGTGCGACTGCACCCTGCGTGACGGGAGATGTCTCCCCCGTGGCTGTAGGGCTACCTGCCTACCTAATGTTGTTACTTGTGATCAGACTTAACTGTTATTAGGATGGCAGAGCGACGGCCTCGCTTCTCGCAGGTCGGCGTTCAATCCCAGCCGTCCAAGTGGTTGGGCACCATTCCTTTCCTTCGTCCTATCCTAAATCCTTATCCCCATATCCCTTTTGAAGGCTATATAATAGTAATGGCTTAGTACTTTCCCCTGATAATTATCTTCCTCTAACTAGTGTTATGTACCTCATGTGAGGTACAGTCTGTGAACGTTAGTGGGAAAGGTTATATGATATAAAACTCATATAACTTTTCTATAACTCATAACCTTTCTTCATATAACTCATAAGCTCTGAACAAAATTAATTTTGCTAAGCATGTTACAGTCTTGAGAAACTGTATTTACATAGTCAGACATATTGAGTATCTCAACAACCTGTTATTATTCCTGTAATAAAGTCTTTGAAGTCATATGAATCTGGAATTATAATTTCTTCAAATTGTTACTCCCATCTTATTTTATGCTGTCACCCGTATTTATCCTTTCTTTTCTTATTTCCTTGAACTTTTCTACCAGCATTTTTTTCTTATAATACCTATTTTGTCTGGTCTACACAAGTTCTTTTTTATTAGTTTTTCAATCTTGGCCGAGATTCCATTTTTATTTGTGTACAAAATCTTGGTGCTCATTTGGGTGATGTTGACTTATTACAACTTTAAGGGTTACTAAATGGTGGAATGAGGATGAGATGAAGGGTTGGGGTTATTGGGTGGGAAGGATGAAGAAGGCCTTGTCTGCTTGGTGGTTGAACAGGACTTTTGGGGCGGGAGTTAAGGAGGAATGGGTTAATTGGGATGTGGAAAGAGTGAAATTTCGGAGTGTAACTTAACTCAGGCATTAAACAACTATTAGTCCCTGGAATTATTATATTTCAGGCTCTAATAGATATTGCATTTCAGGCTCTAATAGATATTGCATTTCTGGCTCTAATAGATATTGCATTTCAGGCACTAATAGTTATTTCATTTCAGGTAAACTATATAAGTTGACCAGACCACACACACTAGAAGGTGAAGGGACGACGACGTTTCGGTCCGTCCTGGACCATTCTCAAGTCGATTGTGACTTGACACAATCGACTTGAGAATGGTCCAGGACGGACCGAAACTTCGTCGTCCTTTCACCTTCTAGTGTGTGGTCTGGTCAACATACTTTAGCCACGTTATTGTGACTCATCGCCTAAACTATATAGTGTAATTTTATAATTTCATTTTAATTTATACGTCAATATTTAGTGCATATTGTACTGATAATTTATATTGTTATTTATGTATACAGAACTTATAATTCTTGTTCATCAGTATTTTTCAGCCCTCTTATTAATACGTAATTACAGAATTGTTATTTTGTTATAATGTCTAAATGTATGTTTTGGTTATACCTGAGAGGATTATTTTCAGCCTTATTTTACAAATTTTTTTTACATTATACACTGACAATAATGCAAGATATTATTCACAACTTCGTGTTTGCAATTTACTGTTAACTGTTGGGTGTTTGAAATTATTCAAAGTTGAGTATTTGTAATTCTTTTCGCAATTCAAATTAGGTTTTGTCATTATTCAGCTACGTGTAATTTCTTTTGTTTATAGCAATGTGTTTGTAAATTAGTGTAAAAAAGATGGAAAGTAAGAACAAAAATTGTTTGAAGACGAGGAGTCACAATAACGTGGCTGAAATATGTTGACTAAACCACACTTGTCGTCCCTTCACTTTCTAGTGTTTGGTTTGGTCAACAAAAATTGTTTGGTCTCATCTGGGTGTTTGCCTGCCATATTATGTACAGTTTTATTCAGTAATTATTCATTTGATATACACTACCTTGTGTATTTTTCTGTGTATCAATATATAATATTTGTCCACGTGGCTGGTGTGGAGTGTAAATTTTTAAAGAATTAATGGGTGCAGGCGACGAGTCACAATAACGTGGCTAAAGTATGTTGACCAGACCACACACTAGAAGGTGAAAGGACGACGAAGTTTCGGTCCGTCCTGGACCATTCTCAAGTCGATTGAGTCATTCATGACTCATGAATGACTCAATGACTTGAGTCATTGAATGACTTGAGAATGACTAAAGTCAAGAGCGACTTGAGAATGGTCAAGGACGGACCGAAACGTCGTCGTCCCTTCACCTTATAGTGTGTGGTCTGGTCAACAGAATGAATGGGTGTTGTACTTGAATATATCCTGGAAACTGTGATTTATTTTTAGGAGTGATTACGGTATTGTCAAAATGTTAAAACTAGATGCTAAGTTAAATTCAAGTGTTGCAATTAGATACTGTATTAAAAAATGACTTGGTTTTGAAAATGACTTTAAAAAAATGATTCCATCTCTCAAAACACAGCAAAACAGCTGTGATTTGAGAGATGGAATGCAACATGTAAGTTTAACGGTTTTAAATTCTGCTTTTATATGGCAGCAGTCTTTTTTTTTCGTGGGAGTGAGATTTAACTGAGTATGTTTTTACTACAATGTGTTATAGCAAATTACTGCTGGGACTCTGTTGTTGTTTTTCAATTGGCTGTTATTACATCTTTGTGACTGAAGCCCTTTACTGGCTTGTTAAGCAGAATTTTTAATAACATGTCAATGTTTCAGGTGTGCAATTTTAATACTTAAATTTTTAACTGGCTGGTTAAACAGACATGCTATATTTTTAATGGAACAGAATTTTTTAATTTACAAATTTTTAGTCATTTTAACTAGATTATTTTATAAGTATGCTGCTAATCTGGCTGGTCTTTAGGGTTGCTATTGTGAGCTGTATTTATTTTTCTGGCATATATGAAAACTCTCGATTTTGGCAAGATAACCGGTTTTAGAGACTGGCTTTTAGTGTTCAACTGGATAGTTTTTTATTATTATTATTATTTTCTACCACAGACGTGGCCACACATTTACAATGCTAACCAGCATATATACATTTTCTTCTGTCCTCCATGGACAGGGTTAGAGATCAGTTAACCTCTGGATCAACTGGATAGTTGAAGGCTGTGACTTAACAGTATGGTAAGGGGATTGTAAATAGACACTGGAAATGTTATACCAAATTTTAACATTTAGCAGTTTCAACAAGATACAAAAATTGGCTTCTTCATTTGTACATGGAACAGCTGCTCCTCGGAGACGTTACCCTACTTTTTCATGTGATGTTAAACCTTGTTTCCTATTATCGTTATCACCCAACTTGTTCTTTTAATAGCATTTATAATCTCTTTGTGGGCCAACACTAAATCTGGAATGTTGGTTTCCGCAGTCGGGTTTGCAACTGTGCTTGAAAGAAGTCTTTGACTATTTCTACTGCCTCGGAGTTTCCTATTTTCAATAATCAATCTGTTTTTTTATTTTTTATCCCCTACAGTCCTACCATCATGTTCCTTAATATTTTATAGCTTGTATATTAATCTTTATGTTAGCTTTCCGTTGTGTACAATTACCTGTACGAATATATTTATATATGCAATGTTTTAATTTATTGCACTTTAAATTTGCATTTGTAAATATTACAACTTCCTCTTCTTATAATTGTATTACCAGACCATAAATGAGTCTGGACCCCAAAATTTCATTCACAACAAGAAAGTCCGTCAATTCAACATTTATCCATATAAAGCACATAAGGGAAGCTAACATTTAATCGTCATATATATAATAATATGCCTGAAGATTCTTAGTGAGGATGGTGACTGGGGATTTAGCGAGATCGGAAATTAATGCAATTTGTCATTTAATGCAAAGAGGATTTGGGGACTCAACCTGGCCAGCCTATGACCATCCCCGGACAAAGACCAGTCACTCTACAAAGCTTGGTCTTCCAACAGAAAAGCAGACAGACATTCTCTTTACCATATATAGATGCTTGTAAACAATAGAAAAGAATTGATGCAAGAACACATATACATATGTAAATGGTATTTTAATGTCAGTACAACCAGCTATACAATAACATAATAAATAAATCTATTTTCGGGAATACACAGAGTTAAGCTTTGGCCAGCAAAGTCTATCACATTTCAAGGTGTTGGCGAAGCTTGCTTGAGGACGGGAAGAGCACCGAGTCGTGACCGGAATGTGAAGTCCAGTAGTATCTCGGTCTACAAGAATGACACGAACGAACGTAGACGTGAATTGCTGAGACAATTTCAGAACTTTAATACAGATTAGATTTTTCTGAATTATTATTCTGAATTGACCGAAGCCAAAGAAGAGACGCTAATTTAAATAAATCTAGTTTCTTCGTGACGCTAAACAAGACCAAAAATGTCAGAATAGACCTTGATGTCTAGACCAGTGGAGAGATCTTGAGGAAACACGCAAGGAAACCCAGAACATTTGGCTGAAGAGAGAGACTGTGAGCACATCGTGCATCTAGAAGTCAGACTTCATGTCTTTGCTCTCCCGCGAGGTGGTGACGTTGTTGGTCTCCGTGCCCTCGTACTTCAGGATGGCGTCGGCCAGAGCGTCGAGGATCTTGGTCATGTCGTCCAGACCCCGTCTGTAGGGATATAAAGGCGTCAGAATTGTTCTACTCCTTGCAGAAGCCCATTTAAGTGCATTTATGACTATTTCTATGCTTATGATTTTTTGATTGGCTTCTTCTGTCCAAAACTTTACGCTTTATTAATATTATTATTGTAACAATTCTTAGGGAACACTAAAGCGTCAACTCAATAAAGTAGTGACACATAAATGTGGTTTATATAATCTAAGATTTTGAAGATGTGTTTTTATTGCATTTTAAATGTATCAGGTAAGCTGAAGTCTTCCATGAAAGTTGAATATCAAATTACATATGATTATATATTACAATAACACTATAACAGTTAAATTATATGAGAAAACAGTACAAACACGTTATTACTTACCCTCCACGGACGTACGGGTTCAAACCAAGTTTCTCCCTCTCGTCCCAAACTCTGGCTGCGGAGGTGACCAGACTCCTGCCATAGGAGGAATAAGAGGAGGTGTCGCCGTGGTAGGAAGAGTACCCGTAGCTGAAGATGTCGAAGAGGACTATTGCGAGCACCACTACCACCGTCAGGATCCCAAACGTCTGCAGGTCGAAGCCTTTTACTAAGCTCTTGAGATCGAAGCCGAAGGTGCGGAGGTTCTGGTCTACCTTCTGCATGATGGTAGAGGCGGCGGCGGTGGCAGCGGCCGCGGCGACCGGGGCGGCAGTGGCAGCCAAGGTGGCAGGCATGGTCTGAGGACACCAATTGGAATGATATTAGTCCTAATAATTACGCAATAAATACCCAGAGCGCAACTCCATAGTCTCCTGAGACTGACGGATGCCTACTACTACTACCCATTCTAAAAATTCTGCGCAAAATACCCATTTTACTGTAGCGATAAATGTAAACATTACAACTATTCCCATTTACTCACAGGGTCTTTACGGTGAGAGAAGAGAAGCAGCGGTGACAGTCCTGTCGCTGGAGTCTCTCGGCTCCGACTGATACCTTTCCCTTGGGCCAGCCCGCCTTTTATAAGACGCAGCAAAAAGAGACAGACGTCTCAGGCAAACCTTCACCATCCGGGTCTTTGAACTGAATTGTTTCCGAAGGACGGACCTAAAGACAGCTTACCAGCCACGTTCTCCAAGCTGGCTGTTGTCTAGGCGTCAACGGTACCTGTGTAATGCTGGGTGAAGGTGACTAAAGCAAACTTGGCAAAATGATGTTGATGTAACAATGAAATGATGTTAATCTAACGTTGATCAGGCGTTGAAAACGTACATCCAGCGATAAACAATCGTTGAAAACGTTAATCCAGCGATAAACAATCGTTGAAAACGTTAATCCAGCGATAAACAATCGTTGAAAACGTTAATCCAGCGATAAACAATCGTTGAAAACGTTAATCCAGCGATAAACAATCGTTGAAAACGTTAATCCAGCGATAAACAATCGTTGAAAACGTTAATCCAGCGATAAACTATCGTTGAAAACGTTAATCCAGCGATAAACAATCGTTGAAAACGTTAATTCAGCGATAAACAATCGCTGAAAACGTTAATCAGCGTTGAATTAGATAGTCTTAAGAGACGTCTCAATGCCCATCGACACCCCCTTCTGAACTCTCGTAAATGAATACGAAGTTCTGTGGTCTGTTGCCTCCTCGGGAAGGAAAGGGACGACCATAGTGAACATAGTTTGGTTTCAAGAGATATGGAAGAAGTTGGTGCCATGTTCCCACACACACTGATCGATAGCTGTCTCCACGTGCAGTCGTAGACTGGTGAAGTGATCGCGCAGAGATCCCAAGGAATCGACGGGACAGAATAACATGGGGGGGGGGTGGTCGCTGCATTGACAGCCTCTTTAATTCGTCGTTAAACAAATGTCGAAAAACGTTGATTAGCGATAAAAACACTGGTAACGTTGATTAAACGTGTATTAGGCGTCAACTACGTTGATTAAACGTTACTCGAGCATGTTTCGTTCGTTGGGATAATAACAATTGAAGTATAATGTGGCTGTAGCTACTAAGTTATGACTTTCAGAGTGTGTTCAACGCTGAGCTTACGCACCAAGTAGCCTATTATACACCATTATGTCGCCTCTTTAATTGTCAGCAGTATATTTTCCAGCTTGTCTTTAAGAAAACTTTAGTACCAGTTGTATCTCGCTATCGAAAAGGTAGATAACGTTTAATTATCTCCTTATGCTATCTGTCTTTTTATATTTTATTTATGAATGTCGTTTAAACTGTATTTTTAATGTAGTCGAAACTTGATATAATCCTGTGTCCTAATCCGTATAATCCCATGTCCTAAACCGAGCTATTCCCGTATCCTAACCTGACCTATACCCGTGTCCTAACCTGAGATATTCCCGTGTCCTAACCCAGCATAGTACGTATTATTACCAAGAATATATTGCCCTTACCTGAAATAATTGTGCGTCATATACACGAAACAAATGAAAGATGTAGGACGTCGCGGTCGCTATGACCTAAAAATATCACATTTATGGGAGAAAGGAGGCTAAGGACAGGAAATTCTCTAGTATGGGCCCCTCTGGATGTCCGCCTCGCACGGGGCATTATTTTCGTGGTCGCGTCTCCGAACCTTTTGTGACCCACTGATTCCCTCAGTGTTGTACCTGCTGACTGCGTTCCCCTTGTGACCCGCCGTCTCTCTCTCAGGATTGTCCCTGACTGAGCACCAGCATGAGGCAAGGAACAATGTACTTAATACCGATGCTGTAACGCGACCAGTGATGGGTATTGGATACAGTATTAGACCAGTTGTAGTAGGCATACTGCAGTCTCCGGAGACTAAGGAATTGAGCTCTGGATGTCGAGACTTGTAGATCCACAATATATTCGGTTCTGGTACATGATCAAGCTTCTGCTAACTAGGTGTTATACTTAGACTCTAAATACTATACTGTACTAGATGGTTTGATAAGGTGTATATATCAACATCAGAAGTATTGCTAACGGACATTCCATCAGACTCCCATCACAAACAAAAAAATTAGTATATGGCAGCTAGAGTATATTATACTGTGGCCTTGACACAGGATAACTAGAAAGTTATCAGATAACATTTTCTTCTCCGGCTCTGTCATGTTTACAGAGGCGTCGACGTCCATAATGATATTAGAGTCTAGTTCAAGGTTACTTTCGGGTAAGTGTCTATGGCGACTATTATTCTTATTGTCAGTGTAAACAATGAATCACAATAAACAAAGGATAAACGCTGTTGTTCAACGAAACAGGCCGTAGCCCAAGCGGTGATTGTGGAGCGATTGTCTTATGTCGGGAGATGGTTACGTGTATTGCGAAGATTGTATGAAGTGTATAAGGAAGATTGTATGAAGTGTATAAGGAGGATTGTATGAAGTGTATAAAGAAGATTGTATGAAGTGTTGAACGAAGATTGTTTGAAGCGTACAGTGATGATCTTTGCATTGTGAGGATTGTGTATAGAGAAGATCGTGTGGGTTAAATTTAGTGCAATGCGAATCCCAATGCACTTGAAGATTTGATGTGACGCTCGTGAGTGTACAATGAAGATCCTCACTGCAGATATTCTACACTTGTGACTAATCTCAACTGAAGATGTGCTGCATGGAGTCTCTCCCTGGCATGCACAGCGATGAGTGCGTGTAGCGAGAATCGAATGCGGCAAAGTTGTGCTTTCTTGGTGATCATGTTTATAAAGATATAACTCACACACTTTGGCCTCCGAGAGATGAAGAGCGGGCCCAGAGGAACCTCGTCCCAAGCAACACTGGGCATCCACGCTTTGGGCTGGAGTAGAAGAGCGAGAGAAAGGGTGGAATAGGTGTGGAAAGAAGTGGAATGGGTGGGAGAAGAGGAGGAATGGGAGGGAGAGAGGTGAAAACAGAAGAGGTGGTGAGGATGTGGGAGAGCTGGAGAGAGCTGGAGAGGTGGTAAGTGGCAAGGGGAGAGGCGGTGAGAGGTGGAGGAGAGGTGCGTGGTGAGAGGGAGGTGTTCCTCGCCCACGGGGGATTCCGGGTAGAGTAGAAAGTAAAAGTGACGGTGTAGTGGAGGAGGGAGCGACGTCCGAGCCGCCACATTACCCCACGTGGGCGTCGGGTCATGTCTTCCAACTTGTTCTCAGACCAGCCAGCATGGACCCTTACCTAACAGTGTTTCTGGGGAGCAAGATCTAGCTCCTTGGGTCCGCCTTTTTTTTCGCAATTGGTCGTCCGGTGCAATGACTGCCAACCCCGCTTGTGCTGAATCACTCCTACATTTAAAAGTATGAATGTGTGTGTGTGTGTGTCTTGTTAGTCTAGTTGTTTGCAGTTAGTCCAAAGTATTAGTTCCTGAGCCCAGTCTTTCCAGATATTGGTCGTTTAATGTAATGATTCCTGACTTTCATGTCTCTTATCATATCTACATTTGAAACTATGAATTCAATTGGCTTCAGGTACTTCTGTCTTTAACTTTTACTCTTGCTCACTATTGACGAAAGGCTTTCTAACATATCTATGGTTCATTTGTGTCTCAGTTTTCCATCCTCGTTCTACGATCGTTTTGTTCATTTTTAGCATTATATTTTTGCCTATTCCGTGACTACATAAAAACATAAAACGCAAAATCCAGGGATCGTTGTAGCAGGCCTGTTGACCCATACTAGGCGAGACCAAATATAATCCATCCTTCTCACCCTTATACCTATCCAATCCATCATTGAAACCTATTAAACGATTTGTATCATTCACAACCCTATTTCCTAAAAACTAATTCCTAAAATCCCTTCTGAATCAAAGTTTATCCAGCTTGTAGCCATTACTACAAGCAACTGCTACAAGAGGGCTCTGATCTGTTCCAACATTTCAGAACTTGCTTATATAACCTATTTTAAGCCTCAAACCCACTTGAATAGATCATATCTCCCCGTTCATGTGTCCCTCTAACGATTTCGGACTGGGACACTGCAATTTGTCTTTGCAGGAATGGTCTTCAATACCAAGTATCAGCCTTACCATCCTTCTCCCTTTATTTTCTCCAAAGTCTATAGGAATACAAGAAGTGCATCATTTGTTAAAATGCATCTGAAGGAAGTACTGCGCCACTCGCCTGGACAGGAGCTGTGAGTGTGATTGTAAATAATGGCAAATTGCATAGCGTGTACGAATTATAGATATATTTATGTACTAAAAGTAAGAGAAAAGTTGGGTTAAACAGAAAGGTCCTAGAAAAGAAAGGTCCAGTTTAAATCACTGGGCTTTGTAATTGATTAAATGTAAATATGAACAGAATTAGTTGAAAGTAGTGTAAGCCGGGGAAGAAAAGTGGCTGTTGCATAGAAAACAATCATTTGGAAGACAGACAGGAAGCGGTGCAGCCGAAAGGGCCGAAAGAGGAAAAAAGTGGAAGTTCCTGCTCCTATGCATGAGTGCGAGTTTCAGGCCTGTTTCCTGAACCTGTCAAGAGTTACACTTCTTGAAATGGATAACCCGACATGCATTTGTGGAAGGATATTATTTAGAAAGAAATGAACGTGTAGGCTAATAATGCTGAAACAAGAATCGTATTAAGATTTTAAGGACATGAACGATGGAAAAACTGATAAATAAAGCAGCCACGAGGTAATTTGTGAGTAGGAGGAGAGGAAGTTTGAGATGATGAGTAACCATAGTGAGTAAGTGAGTAAGGAAGCGGAGATTGTGTGTAAACAGAGCTCTGGAATAAGGAAGAATAAAGCTTGTTGGGATAAATTTATTAAGAAGTAGTGAAAGCTTGACATATGACATTATAAAACGACAACTCACGCGAAGCACTTTACTTGTGTTATGAAGAAGTGGAGTGATTTGATGTTTTACACGCGAGAACATTTACATTTACAGAGGATACAAATAATAATATTTATAGTGGTTAATAAGAGTTGTATATTACACATATCAAAGCTAATGCTATTAATAAGGAATATCCTGAAATACAGAGGCAAAATAAATTATTATGTCA